TCCATCTGTTTGTGTCATCTTCAATTTCTTTCATCATATCTAACAGTTTTTGGAGTACAGGTCTTTGGGCCCCTGTATTTTCGTAGGATTAATCTCCCTCCTCTGACATGCAGATGTCTTACCAACAGGTCTAGAGTAGTTGCTACTTCGTGCTCACTAGGTCCAATCAGAATAATGTTACCAATGTAATGGACCAGTATATCTTGTCAGAAGGAAAATAATCAAGATCCTTACAAACTAAATTATGACACAGTTGGAGAGTTGATATACCCCTGAAGTTGGACAGTGAAGGGGTATTTCTGACCTTGCCAGCTGAAAGCAAGCTGATTCTGGTGATCTTTATTGACAGATATGGAGAAAAAAATCATTGGCTAGATCAATTAGCCACACAAACCAGGTACCAGAAGATATGTTAATATGATCAAGTAATGAAACATCATCTGGTACAAATAGCTGCAATTACAGTCACCACCTGGTTAAGGTTACAATTATTCATTGTCATTATCCAAGTTCCATCTGTCCTCTGCACAGGCCAAATCAGTGCATTAAATGGGAATGAGCTGGAAATTACCACCCCTGCAACTTTCAAGTCCTTGATGGTGGCACTAATCTCTCCAATCTCTTTAGGAATAGGGTCCTGCCTTGGATTACTATTTTCCTACATAAGAACAACACTGTTGATGTTCAGTCACTGAGTATTGTCTGACTCTTTGTGACCCCATGGACTGCAACATGCCAGGCTTCCCTGTCCTTCACTATCTCCTGGAGTTTGCTCAAACTCACGTCCATTGAGTTGGTGATGCCATACAATCATCTCATCCTCTGCCACCCACCTCTCCTCTTGCTCTCAATCTTTCCCAGCATCAGAGTCTTTTCCTGAGTTGAGTTAGCTCTTCACATCATGTGGCCAAAGTATTGGAGCTTCAATTTCAGCCCAAGTCCTTCCAATGAATATTCAGGATTGATTTTCTTTAAGATTGACTAGCTTGATCTCCAAGCTGTCCAAGGGACTCTCAAGAGTCTTCTCCAGAACCACAATTCGAATATATCAATTCTTCAGCACTCAGCCTTCTTTATAGTCCAACTCTCACATTCATGCATGACTCCTGGAAAAACCGTACCTTTGACTATACGGACCTTTGTCAGCAAAGTGATGTCTCTGCTTTTTAAGACTCTCTCTAGGTTTGTCATAGCTTTTCTTCCAAGGAGCAAGTGTCTTTTAATTTTGTGGCTGCAGTCACTGTCTTCAGTGATTTTGGAGCCCAAGAAAATAAAGTCTGTCACTGTTTCCACTTTTTGCCCATCTATTTGCCATGAACTGATGGAACCAGTGGAGAAGGCAATGGCATCCCACTCCAGTACTCTTGCCTGGAAAATCCCATGGATGGAGGAGCCTGGTAGGCTGCAGTTCATGGGGTCGCGAAGAGTCAGACATGACTGAGCGACTTCACTTTCACTTTTCACTTTTATGCATTGGAGAAGGAAATGGCAACCCAGTCCAGTGTTCTTGTCTGCAGAATCCCAGGGATGGGGTCACACAGAGTCGGACATGACTGAAGTAACTTAGCAGCAGCAGATGGAACCAGATGCCATATCTTAGTTTTTTAAATGGTGAGTCTTAAGCCAGCTTTTTCAATCTCCCCTTTTACCCTCATCAATCCTTAGATCTTCTTTGCTTTCTGCCATTAGAGCAGTATCATCTGCATATCTGAGGTCATTGATATTTCTCCCAGCAATCTTGATTCCAGCTTGTGCTTCCTCCAGCCTGGCCTTTCACATGATGTGCTCTGCATATAAGTTAAATAATCAGGGTGATAATATATAACCTTGATATACTACTTTCCCAATTTTGGACCAGTCTGTTGTTTCATGCCTGGTTCTAACTGTTGCTTCTTATACTGCATACAGGTTTCTTAGGAGACAGGTAAGGTGATCTTGTATTCCTATATCTTAAGAATTTTTCACAGTTTGTTATGATCCACAGAGTCAAAGGCTGTAACATAGTCAATGAAGCAGAAGCAGATTGTTTTTTTTGGAATTCCCTTGCTTTTTCTATTATCCAGGAACAGTACTGGTGGCTTCCATTTGGTCTCTCCTATCATAATAGTCCTCATTTCACAAAGTCATCCTCCTTGTTTCTTGTAAGGCATTGATTAAGAGTATCCATGATGATATTTTGCACATTTGTATTGGTAGATTACACTATGGGCTACCAGTGCTTTCTCTACTACCGGAAATGGAGTCATTAGTGTTAAAATCTAATAAGATTAGAATGTCAATTCCAGAAAGTCTAGAACAGACTCAAAACATTCATTCTTATATATTTGTTCCCCTAGAACCACTCTTGATAACAATCTGTATTAGGTTCTCCAGAGAAACAGAATTAACAGGATGTGTGTGTATGTGTCTGTGTATCTGTATGTTGTGTGCAGAGAGAAAGAAAAAGATTTACTATAAGGAACGGGCTCACATGATTATGAAGATTGACAAGTCCCCAAATCTGCAATCATCAAACTAGAGATTCAGGAAAGCTAATGATGTCATTCTGCTCCATGTCTAAAGGCCTGAATACCAGGAGAGCCAATAGTGTAGTTCTAGACTAAATGTTAGTAGACTCAAGACCCAGAAAGAGCTGAAGTTTCAGTTCAAAACCAAAGGCAGGAAAGAACTGATGTCCCAGATCAGAAGCAGTTAGGCAGGAGTTTCCTCATACTCTAATTTTTTTGTTGTATTCAGGCCTTCAACTAGGCCCCACTCAAAAGTGACTGGATAGGGCCTACTCACATCAGAAAGGGCAATCTGATTTACTCATTCTACTATTAATTCAAATACTAATCTCATCCAGCAACACCCTCACAGATACACCCAGAAAAAAAAAGTGTTTGACCAAACGTCTGGGTACTCCATAGTCCTGTCAAGCTGACATACAAAATTAAGCATCATTACTAATTAGCTTTTAATCTCAATAAGTAATATATACATCTTATTTATATGAAAAATTCTTATCAACTGAAATAGATTCAGAATTACAAAGGCTAATGTTATCTATGAATACTAGTTTTAACTTATCACATAACTTTATTCACATATGAAATAAGATTTTTTCCAAAAAAGAAGGAAAAAGGACTTTTTAAAGTTTATTTTTCTACACGAGGGCTTTCTCTAACTGGGGTGAGCAGGAGCTACTCTCTAGTTGCAGTGCCTGGGCTTCTCATCACGGTGGCTTCTCTTTTTAGAGCATGGACCCCAGAGCACAACAGGCTCAGTAGTTGTGGTGCCCAGGTTTAGCTGCTCCACGGCCTGTGGGATTTTCCCAGACCAGGTATTAAATCTTTGTCCCCTGCATTGGCAGGTGGATTCTTAACCACTAACCCACCACATAAGTTCCAAAAGAAAAATTTTTTAAAAAGAAAAAAAAAGCTTGAAAATGGAGGATTCCCTGGTGATCCAGTGGTTAGGACCATACCACTAGTCCACTGCAGGGGCCATGGGTTCCAACCCTGGTCAGAGAACTAAGATTCCACATACCGTACTGGGTGTCCAAAAGTTTTAAAAATAAAAATAACAATAAATGTTTTTAAAAAGAAAATAGAGGCAAAAAATAAGATTTTTCTCATTCTATATATAATAAATCACTGTGGGCTCTTACTTAAGGTACAGAAACTTATCTGAGGAATATTTTAAGGTACTTTAAATATATAAAAATATTTTAAAGCTTTTTCATATCAATATATATTTTGATTGATCATCTAAAACACTGTTTTACAAATTACCTTAATAACAGAGTAAAATTCATAGTCTGTTTTACACGACTGATTTATGAAAAAAACATTTTTTCTAAAGGAATGAAATCTTAAGTAAAGATTTTCCATAAAGTGACTTCAGATGCCTAGTTTACTTCATACTGTGACATCACAGTCAATGTTATTACACATGGAGTCAACTGAAATGTCTTCATGTTTTGCTATTTAATTTCATTAAAGTGAAGTGAATAGTTTTGATATTATTGTTAATTCTTGATTTCTTTCTTTCCTTTTCTATATCATGACTATTATATTAACTGTTCCTGTTTCCAACAGAAAAAAAGTAACAAAAATATAAATGCTATGGTATGTTTTTATTATCTACATGGTTTAAAGAGCTACCTACAGGTGCCTAGAAAATTCACTTGTGATAAATCTATAATGGATACATTAAAAAAGGACTCAACACCATTATTTACAATTGCCAAGGTATGGAAACAACCTGTGTCCATCAATAGATGAATGGATAAAGAAGATGTGATATATACATGTGTGTGTGTGTGCTTATATGTACAAATATATAAATAAATACTACACAGTCATAAAAAAGAGAAAGATTTTAAATTGAAGTACAGATGACTTATAATATTTCAGATATATAGCAAGAGAACATATACATTCTTTTTTCATATTCTTTTCCATTATCGGTTATTACAAGACATTAAATACAGTTCCCTATGCTATACAATAGGTCTTTATTTTTATCTATTCTGTATTTGTAGTGTTAATCTGTTAATTCCAAATTCCTAGTTTATCCTTCCCCACTTTTCCTTTTGGTAACCTTAAATTTTTTTTCTGTATCTGAAAAAAGAATGAAATTTTGCCATTTGCAACAATATGGATGGACTTAGAGGGCACTATGCCAAGTGAAATAAAATCAGACAGAGAAAGACAAATACTGTATGGTATCACTTATATGTGAAATCTAAAAAATACAACAGATTAGTAAATAAAAAGAACAGACTTACAGATACAGAGAACAAACTAGTGGTTACTAGTGAGAAGAGGGGAGGAGGCAGAGGCAAAATACAGGCAGAGGGAAAACAAAAGCAGTTATTACAGGATTGTATGAAATCATCTGTGTGAAACTTTTGAAAATTGTAAGGCACTATACAATTTTAAAATTTTTTCTTTCAATAAAAAAAATTTTTTTAAGGACTCAAAATTAGTGTATTTAAAATAAATAGAGAGGAATACCTTTAAGCTCAGCAGATGTTCACAAACAGCATAACAAATGCCAATACCTTCTTCTGTATTAGTACCTCTGCCAAGTTCATCAATTAATATAAGTGACTTGTCATTAGCATTATGTAGAATATATGCTATCTGAAAATATAATTCCAAAATTATTCATTGCAACCAAACAGCTGCCAGTATTATAGCAAAAAATGAAGAAAAATCCAGTTCCTTTATTAGTTCATTTGAAATATATTTTGACAGAGAAAACCTGCTGAGCAGAAACTAACACATTGCTTCTTTCTAAAAATCTCATTACTAATAATTCCAATAGAATAGCTGATGTGTAAATAAATATACATATACATACAGTAAATAACCATTATCTAAAATATTGATGAATCAGATACAGTGAAATAAAGCAATGAGTTAAATGTTTAAATAAAGCACAAAGATGGTCATTTTCTTGTTTAAGAGAAAACTGCTCAGTCGTGTCTGACTCTGCGACCCCATGGACTATACAGTCCATGGAATTCTCCAGGTCAGAATACCGGCATGAGTAGCCTTTCTCTTATCCCGGGGATCTTCCCAACCCAGGGATCAAACCCAGGTCTTTCACATTACAGGCAGATTCTCTACCAGCTGAGCCACAAGGGAAGTCCAAGAGTGCTGGAATGGGTAGCCTATTCCTTCTCCAGTGGATCTTCCCAAGCCAGGAATCCAACCAGGGTTTCCTACATTGCAGGTGGATTCTTCACCAACTGAGCTATGACGAATCAATTGCTGTCATAAACACTCTAAACTATCTCTCAGCTCACATCTCTATAGCCAGTAAAAATGAAAAGAAATATTTAGAAAAAAGCATCTAAGTCCATTGATTTCTGAGTAGAATATATTTAAATCATGCCTGATACAGACTTATGTTATGACACAACTGTTAACAATCATGGCCATTTTATCTTTCCATGGGACTAAGCTTCTTGAGAGCTAGGACCATTTAAAAATATGCCTCAAGCACCTAGTCTATTGCTATATTCCCCCATCGTTATTTAATACATACTAAATAATTATATAAATATCACATGTGGTGGGCAAATGATCATTTTATTCCCGTTCTATCTAAAGAAAATTAGTAAACTGTACAATGATTCAATAACCCATACCTACTAAATATAGGCCAAGAGCTATACTAAATTCCTTTAACCCTTCAAGATTATTTGACATGTGCTCAGATCAAAAATAGGTACTGATACATACTTTGGCATAGGAAGTGAAAATTCCACAAGAGCACAAAAAGTGATTTTTAAAAAACCTTTTAACTCAGTGATCTTTTACTTTAAAATCAAGCCCAACTATGCAAAATGTTTCTGAACAGGTCATTGCTTTCTGAAGTCTTTTATATATTCCATATAAAAACATGAAAGCATGTTTTTATCATTCAATAACACTAGCTTTTTCTTTAAAGCTGTATTTTCCAATAAAACATTTACTTCCATTTCCACATAAGACAGAAATTAGGAAGCTGTCTTTGACTGCCCTCTGGCTCTTGTAGAGAAGTAGAAACACATCTGCAAGCTTTAATATAAAAATATTTTCTTATAATTGACCATTAATAGGGTAATTCAATATGTTTTTAACATAAGGAAAGCTGAGATCAGGTACCTCTTTCATTTCCTTCATAAATGTTGATGAATTTGTTTCGATATCATCATCAGTACTTATTCTTGTAAAAATCTGTTCAGCAATTCTAAAGGAAGAATATTCTGCTGGAACATATGATCCTATAAAATATAAGTCAAAGTAAACTGAGATGCTTTTATAAAATATAAGCACTACAAACACATTGCACTTTCCACCAACTCAGATTATTTAGTAGCCTATCTAAGGATTAATGTAGTGGAAAGATCACAAGATATGGAATTAGAAGGCATGGCCCCAGCTCTGTCATTTATTTTAAAACCTTGGACAGCACTTAAATTCTCTCAACTTCATCTTCCTCACATATAAAATGGAAACACTTACCCTAACTATTGTACAAAGTTATTTGGAAGTGGAAAAAAGATAATACATATTTGAGTACATAAGAAAGATTTGCTATAAATTTGATAAAAATTGTTAAATAGTATAGTCAGATGATACAGAATATTCAAAATATGAAAATCTGAAGGAAACACTTATGAAGCTCAAGTTGATAAAATCATTATAGAAAGGTATATTAAGAAATAGTTGTTATTAGAAAAGTACAGAACCATCCACAATTAGAATGAATGCAAAACACTAAAATTTTTATTAAGGTGAATTTTTATTCACAAGATGGTTTCTATGTGAGAAATATCAGGCTAACTAACCTAAAATAGTCATCTCTTGAAAACAAATCAATCTGATTATTTATATCTATCACTATACAAAATGGGATACAAAAAGCATTCTAAAACCATAAGATAAAAATATACAAAGAGTTAAATGAAAAAACTGTCAAATATACAGAACTCTGTATAGACAAAATATGAAATAACGGGAGTGAAGAAACAAAGCCAGATTATTCCAGGATTTAAAACAAAGACAAGGGTGAAAAATAGGATCTACTTTTACATAATAAAGAATAGCAGGAAGAGAAAGCAAAAGTTCAGATAATATTAATATCAATGCAGATAATAATAATAATAGCAATTATGATGACATCTCAGAGAGCAAATAAATACAACATTCTCACAGGACTGCCAAAATGATCACATAAGAAAAAATAAATGTATGGCTAATTCATTTCAATGTATGACAAAAACGACTGCAATGTTGTAAAGTAATTAGCCTCCAACTAATAAAAATAAATGGAAAAAAAAAGAAAAATAAATGTGAAAGTACCAAGTATAGACTATAGCGTATATAGTACATATGGTTCATATTTTCCCTTCTCTCTTACCTCCACCAAAAAGGCTCTTCACATATCTTAATATATCACAGAAGCCTGTTGGCTGGTATTTTGCTTCTAATCTGGCTCTTCTCTAACCTTACAATAGCCAGAGTGATCTATCTAAAACTCAAATCCAATTATGCCATTGTCTTGCTAAAACATCTATAGCTCCCTATAGATATCTGGATAAGGTTCTCTCTCCTCCATTAAATGCCTAAGGCCCTTCACAACCTGACTCCTGCCCATTTCTCCAGCTTTAAGCCTGCCACTTCTCACAGTCACTCTTTATTCTGCAAAGCAAAAGAACCACTAAACCTCTGAACTCCTTGTAGCTACTTGGAAATATCATGCTGTTTATTGCTCCTGTGCTTTAGAACATGCTTTTACCTCTATTTTCTCTCATACCCTTCCCTTAAGACCATAGCATTGTGTATGTGTGTATATATGTATGTATGTATGTATGTATGAGCGCTCAGTCACGTCCGACTCTGCGACCCCATGGACTGTAGCCCACCAGGCTCCCCTGTCCATGGGATTCTCCAAGCAAAAATACTGGAGTAGGTTGCCATTTCCTTCTCCAACGCGTCTTCCAGACCCAGGGATCGAACCTGGATGGATCTCCTGCACTGAAGGCATATTCTTTACCATCTGAGCCACCAGGGAAGCCGTGTGTGTGTGTGTATGTGTGTGTGTGTGTGCGTGCATAAACAGCATGATATTCCTAAGGAGCTACAAGGAGTCCAGAGGCTTTGCAGAACAAAGAATAGTTTAATCTTTACAACACTTCTTAGACTTAGGTACTATTATATTTTTCATTTACAGATAGAAAAACTAAGGAGGTTAAGTATTTGCCTAAGATCACATAGCCAGTAACTACAAAAGCTAGATCTAGCTCCAAAGCCTATATTCTCAACTTCCATGCTTTTTGAGTCCTACTATTTCCTTTATAATCAGAGTTTATAAGATACTACATATAGTTTTAGGAATTCAAAGACTGTGGCAAGAGAAGTAGAGTAATAGTAATTTTCTTTAAATATCTGAGGGCCTGTTCTCAGGATATAATAGATTATTCTGAAATGCACAGAAGTTAAGAATTAGGACTAATGAAGAAAAGTTGTATACAGTCAAATTTTAATTCAGTATAATGAATGTTTTAACAATTATAACCACACAGAAATTAGACAGCCTGTTTTTTAAAGGACGGAACTCATAACTATTCAAACAGAAGTAAGATTATTATCTCAGATATGAATCAGTATTCTTAGAAGGAAAAGGAAGTTATCTAAGATAGCCTTTTAAATTTAATAAAATATATACCCTTTATTTATTCATTCATTCACTCACTTCTGATTTTCTTTCCCAGTAGTAAGGGAAATTTGCACTATATGATCGATATTACTATTCTGCATTTCCCTTAAAATCCATTACATTAAACCAAGCTTTTTCAATCACATCAAGGGCTGCATAATTCTTTCTTGAGCATGTGTGTGGCTGAGGCAGGGGAGGGGGGTAAAGGAAGATGGTTGTCCTGTGAATTGTAGAATATTTAGAAGCATCCCTGGATATTATACAAAAAAGATCTTAATGACCCAGATAACCACAATGGTGTGATCACTCACTCACCTAGAGCAAGTCAAGTGGACCTTAGGAAGCATCACTACAGATAAACCTAGTGGAGGTGATGGAATTTCAGTTGAGCTATTTCAAATCCTAAAAGATGATGCCATGAAAGTGCAGCATCCAATATGCCAGCAAATTTGGAAAACTCAGGAGTGGCCACGGGACTGGAAAAGATCAGTTTCAGTTTTCATTCCAGTCCCTAAGAAAGGCAATGCCAAAGAATGTTCAAATTACCATACAATTGCACTCATCTCACACGCTAGTAAAGTAATGCTCAAAATTCTCCAAGCCATGCTTCAACAATAGTGAACTGAGAACTTCGAGATGTTCAAGTTGGATTTAGAAAAGGCAGAGTAATCAGAGATCAAACTGTCAACATCCGTTGGATCATAGAAAAAGCAAGAGAATTCCATTAACATCTATTTCTGTTTCACTAACTATGCTAAGCCTTTGACTGCATGAATCACAACAAAATGGAAAATTCTTAAAGAGACAGGAATACCAGACCACCTTACTTGCCTCCTAAGAAATCTGTATGCAGGTAAAGAAGAAACAGTTAAAACCGGACATGGAACAATGGACTGGTTCCAAATCAGGAAAGGAGTATGTCAAGGCCATATGTTGTCACCCTGCGTATTTAACTTATATGCAGAGTACGTCATGTGAAATAACAGGCTGGATGAAGCACAAGCTGGAATCAAGACTGCTGGGAGAAAAATCAACAACCTCAGATATGCAGATGACACCATCCTTATGGCAGAAGGCAAAGAGCAACTAAAGACCCTCTTGATGAAGGTGAAAGAGGAAAGGGAAAAAGCTGGCTTAAAACTCAACATTCAGAAAACTAAGATTATGGCATCTGGTCCCATCACTTCATGGCAAATAGATGGGGAAACAATGGAAACAGTGAGATACTGTTTGGGGGGCTCTAAAATCACTGCAGATGGTGAATACAGCAATGAATGAAAAGACAAGCTTGCTCTTTGGAAGAAAAGCTATGGCAAACCTAGAAAACATACTGAAGCAGAGACATTACTTTGCTGACAAATGTCCGTATAGTCAAACCTGTGGTTTCTCCAGGAGTCATGTATGGGTGTGATAGTTGGACCATAAAGAAAACTGAGCACTGAAGAATTGATGCTTTTGAACTGTGGTATTGGAGAATACTTTTGAGAGTCCCCTGGACTGCAAGGAGATCAAACCAGTCTATCCTAAAGGAAATCAGTCCTGAGTATTCATTGGAAGGACTGATGCTGAAGTTGAAGGTCCAATACTTTGGCCACCTGATGCAAAGAACTGACTCATTAGAAAAGACCCTGATGCTGGGAAAGATTGAAGGCAGAAGAGGACAACAGAGGATGAGATGGTTAGATGGAATCACTGACTTGATGGACATGAGTTTGAGCAAGCTCCGGGAGTTGGTGATGGACAGGGAAGCCTGGAGTGCTGCAGTCCATGGGGTCACAAAGAGTTGGACACAACTGAGCAACTGAACTGAGCTGAACTGAACTGGATTTTATACTCCCTTCAGTTGTGACAACCAAAAATGTCTCCAGACATTGCCAATTCCAGAGGGAGAGGTGAACCAAAATTATCCCAGACTGAAAAGTCATCTGGTCTCTGATTCAGGGGTGAGTTGTGTCTCGACGCCAAGAAATCCATAACAATGTGGGGACAGTGACAGTCATTTACACGGTCACAAAGAGTTGGACACAACTGAGCGACCAAACTGAACTGCATGCACACGTAAGTGTAACACAGCAGTTGTTAAACCTAAGTTATTGGTAAACCTTAAATTAAGTAAGGGAAATGTTCCTGTGCCCAATGTTACAATTTTGGGAAAAATCTTACATGAGTTATTAAAGGCAGTAGTTTCTGCTACTTGTACCACTTTCTCTCTCAACAAAGTTTTTGAATCCAGGATAATTATAAATTCAATTTAGTAATAGTTGATACAACAGTAATAACTATAATAAAGAAGTTTCTATTTCAATTATATCCCACAAGATTTCAGTACACTGTAACCCAAACTGGGTGGCGCTTAATAAATACCAAATTTTAAAAGTTATGATATATATATATGATCTAAAATACTGGGCATGAAATATTTTAAATGGGGAGCAGAACTGAAACCATAAAGTAAACATGTAACTTACCAATTTGGGCCATAATCTGACAAAGAGCAATCTGTTTCAAATATGTGGATTTCCCACTCATATTTGGTCCAGTTATGATAAAAAAATTACTCCCTTCTGTAATATACGTATTGTTAGCAACAGGTTTTTCCACAGATATTCTTTCAAGAATGGGATGCCATCCCTGCTTGATTGCTAAAGTATCAGTAAACTCTGGCCGAACTAAAGAGAAAAATAAAATGGTTTTGGAAGATTAATATATTTATACTTGAAGATTTTGTGCTCTGTACATACTGTTTATACTTTATTGACTTTACTAGGGTCAATCTGGAACAATATCATTGTTATTATTTTATCTTTAGTCCCTCTAAATGATAACTGGCATAGTCTAATCACATCAGAACTTATATTCTTTTCCAGAAAAAATATAAGATTTTGGTCCAATCATTGTGCAGGGCTCCAAAATAGTTCATAACATTTTCAGATTTGCATAAATTAAAAGGGTTCAACCAGCCATTTAAAAATAACAATTAATTTCAAAGACTCTAAAATCGCACATTTACTTAATCCTCGCCTTAAGCATTATTTCAAATTTGGCATACTTAGCTTTTCTAATGAGGTCTGAAAATAGAGCAAAACCAAATAAAAACACAATTTTATGTCCAAACTTATAGAAATTTTGTCTAAAAAGTATTCTCAGATGATAGAAAAAAACAGACACAAAAGATTTTGTTAATTTGTAGAAAGAAATAATGATCAGGTTTCTATAGATGCTTTCTAAGATGAAGAGAGGAGAAAGAAAGTGAGAGACAAGTAAAAATTAAAATGCTACATGCCTCTCGAGGAAACACATGGATAAACTTGAAAGTATTCATTATAAAAGTGAGGTTGATTAGTAAATAAAAAATTTTTACTATATTTAAATCATTTTAATACCAAAAATTCACTACTTATAAGTTTGGAGTTTTACGGTAGTCCTTCTCAACATGGAACATCATCAAATATCTTTTTTTTTCATTTATTTTTATTAGTTGGAGGCTAATTACTTTACAATATTGTAGTGGTTTTTGCCATATATTGACATGAATCAGCATGGATTTACATGTGTTCCCCATCCCGATCCCCCCTCCCACCTCCCTCCCCATCCCATCCCTCAAATATCTTAATAGTTGAGAAAACTATTAAGTTTTGGCCTATACAATACCAACTGAAAAATTTAATCCTTCCATAAGAAATAAAGAAATATCAAAAATGAAAAAGTCTTTTAAAATACCTTTTCCATCATAAAAATTAATTAACAGAATGTTTTGGAAATACTATTATTAATTTTAACTAGAAATTTAATGTTATTAAGCCCACAATTACTCAACCAAATTGTCATATACAAATTATGCAAATTTGCATACTGATAATTTGGATAAGAAATTTCCAGGGATGGGGGCTAACTTGAAGTATTCATTTAACATTAAAAAATTGCTTAACATTTATATTCAAGACCTGTGTATAGACTTGGGACACAAAAATAAGTGATATAATTGATCTTGGGATGCTCGCATCTGCTCACTTTCAAGACTTTATTTCTGTCATGTCTGTTAGTATTAGCATCACACTGCTTCTTCAGACTTGAAATTTATGAATTTGGATCATCATTATTTTCACCAAAGAGACAGCTCTATAGTCTTTCTTATTTTAGGAAAGACTCTAAAGTTTCTTGCAATATTTTTTTTCTAATTTCTCAGTAAATAATCTTTTGACTTCTAAAAGAAATTTTAAGGGTAATTTCACTTTATATATTTTGAGTCTTAGTCTAGGATCATAGGTAAGAGACTATATATCAGGGAAAAAAATATAAAACATTCATAATTGTTATATAAAATGGAATACAAGTTTCAGTATGCAACCTATTTATTCCAAAGAAAATAACTTACCATAATCAGAAAGAGTACAGGCATGAGCAAATGACAGTAGCATATCCAGCATTGACACAGTATCAGACAGTTTATATAGGCAATGAATATGCTCATAAATCTCACTAAGCAGTTTGCACACAATCCTGAAAGTACATGTTTGATAAGAGAAACAGTGCTTTTAAAAGAGGGGCATACAACATAATTGTAAAGCAATATAAAATTTCGTTGCCTGAGGTAAAATAACATTGATAGTTGAGTTGTACACTAGATAAAGTCTGTTGTTCTATTGTCTTATTTCAGAGGTGAGGAAACTGAAGCTCATAATCAAGGTCACAGTTATTTAGTAGAAGAGAATCCATCTTCTGGTATATTAAGACCAAGTTTCTTTAAAGACTGCTTTTCTTAAATATTAATAAAATAAATTTTTAGTATAGAAATATTTTATATAGGTCAAATGAAGCCCTCACTATACTTCAACAGATCCCATCTACTAATAATTTTGCTTTTGCAATGTTAAATTTAACACAAAAGCTATTATGTATTTTCTCTCTTACCCATCCTCTCCCTCTCCCTCTTTCTCTCTCTCATACACAACCCTAACTACATAATTATTTATGCTTTCATGTGGCAGTTACCATATTGTGACATAATATAAAAGTTTTCCCCTTACATGGGAAAATATGTTCTGCAACTTACTATATCTTATAATCTTTTTGGTTTATGCTTTGAAATTGTTCTGAAAATACAACATTTATCTTCATCACCTCAGCTCACCAATTCTGAATTTCCTAGTTCTTATTTCTAGACACATTGCTGCTGTTTTATGAACAACGAAAGACTGGCACTATTATAATGTTGTTATATATGTACTAAGTCATGAGAATTTGAGAGGACAAGCTAAAGAAAAAGAATAAACTGAATGAAGTCCCAAATAAGCCCAGATGTGCCAACTTCTACATCATGATGGAGTATACACTACAGAAGTATCAGTGATACTAGAGATATTTCAAGCTCATGTCATTATGACATTTCTTAAAACTGTATTAAAAAGATGAGTGAAGTACTGATGAAATGTGGATATTTGGCTGGGTATCAAGCTTTTTCTATAACCCAGCATAATGGACTTATTTTTGGGGAGGGGTGGTTGTAATTAGATTTGCCCTGAATGTTCTGTGAGGCTCAGTGATCTCAATCACAATGATAGACTTTAAAGTTTTAACTGTTTTTCTAGGAAATGGTCTTTCCTTGCTAATACTCATAACTACAATTTTATGCAACCAGAAAAAAAGTCAGTTAATGAAATGTATTGTAGCATCTCAAACCAAATCAATTTAAATCAGTATTCAAAAATTTCAAATGCTCTTACATATAAGTCATGTGATAGATTTCTCTCAAAGACTCTTGGCATCTTTCATTCATTTTAATTAAATCTGCAGATGTAAAGCTATAAGAATTTTTCACTTTGGAAATCTGCTAGGAGATTAAAAAAATGAAGATACATACTCTTATGAAGTAAAACATATGGATTTTAAACAATAGAATTATAGGTACTTAGGTTAATCACTTTAATTCTTGAGATAATTGTATCATCAAAAAAGTCCCAAATAATGTTTGTAGAAGAGAAAAGAAGATCACTTCTCAAGTTAAAGCAGAATATATTAACCTAGTCTGTCCGACATGACTATTTTTACAGCTCTTAAAGTAGCCATGTAGAAATGTTAACAAAAATATTACACCTCATTACCAAGTAATAATATGTACGGTAGATAGGAACCTTCACTCCATCTGTGACCCCTGTCTTAGCCCTTATTTCATAACCAAACTTCATGCAGTCTCTAACCCCTTTACTAATTCTTGACCCATTTTTTCACTTCATCCATCCCTTATTACTGGATAATATAGTATATATTTTAAAGATCTGAAAGGTTTGTTTTTGTCATAAGGTACTCCCTGCAGGTAGAGAAAGATTAAAGTGGGTTAGACCCAAAACCTATGGGACACTGTAAAAGCAGTGCTAAGGGGAAGATTCATAGCATTACAGGCCTACCTCAAGAAACAAGAAAAAAGTCAAATAAATAACCTAACTCTACACCTAAAGCAACTAGAGGAGGAAGAAATGAAGAACCCCAGGGTTAGTAGAAGGAAAGAAATCTTAAAAATTAGGGCAGAAATAAATGCAAAAGAAACTAAAGAGACCATAGCAAAAATCAACAAAGCTAAAAGCTGGTTTTTTGAAAAAATAAACAAAATAGACAAACCATTAGCAAGACTCATTAAGAAACAAAGGGAGAAGAACCAAATTAACAAAATTAGAAACGAAAATGGAGAGATCACAACAGACAACACTGAAATACAAAGGATCATAAGAGACTACTACCAGCAGCTCTATGCCAATAAAATGGACAACTTGGAAGAAATGGACAAGTTCTTAGAGAAGTATAACTTTCCAAAACTGAACCAGTAAGAAATAGAAGATCTTAACAAAACCATCCAAGCAAGGAAATCGAAACTGTAATCAGAAATCTTCCAGCAAACAAAAGCCCAGGACCAGATGGCTTCACAGCTGAATTCTACCAAAAATTTAGAGAAGAGCTAACACCTATCTTACTCAAACTCTTCCAGAAAATTGCAGAAGAAGGTAAACTTCCAAACTCATTCTATGAGGCCACCATCACCCTAATTCCAAAACCAGACAAAGATGCCACAAAAAAAGAAAACTACAGGCCAATATCACTGATGAACATAGATGCAAAAATCCTTAACAAAATTCTAGCAAACAGAATCCAACAACATATTAAAAAAATCATACATCATGACCAAGTGGGCTTTATCCCAGGAATGCAAGGATTCTTTAATATCCGCAAATCAATCAATGTAATACACCACATTAACAAATTGAAAGATAAAAACCATATGATTATCTCAATAGATGCAGAAAAAGCCTTTGACAAAATTCAACATCCATTTATGATTAAAACTCTCCAGAAAGCAGGAATAGAAGGAACATACCTCAACATAATAAAAGCTATATATGACAAACCGACAGCAAGCATCACCCTCAATGGTGAAAAATTGAAAGCATTTCCCCTGAAATCAGGAACAAGACAAGGGCGCCCACTCGCACCACTCCTATTCAACATAGTTTTGGAAGTGTTGGCCACAGCAATCAGGGCAGAAAAAGAAGTAAAAGGAATCCAGATAGGAAAAGAAGAAGTGAAACTCTCTCTGTTTGCAGATGACATGATCCTCTACATAGAAAACCCTGAAGACTCTACCAGAAAATTACTAGAGCTAATCAACGAATACAGTAAAGTTGCAGGATATAAAATTAACACAGAAATCTCTTGCATTCCTATACACTAACAATGAGAAAACAGAAAGAGAAATTAAGGAAACAATACCATTCATCATTGCAACAAAAAGAATAAAATACTTAGGAGTATATCTACCTAAAGAAACAAAAGACCTATACATAGAAAACTATAAAACACTGATGAAAGAAATCAAAGAGGACACAAACAGATGGAGAAATATACTGTGTTCATGGATTGGAAGAATCAATATTGTCAAAATGGCTATACTACCCAAAGCAATCTATAGATTCAATGCAATCCCTATCAAACTACCAACGGTATTTTTCACAGAACTAGAACAAATAATTTCACAATTTGTATGGAAATACAAAAAACCTCGAATAGCCAAAGTAATCCTGAGAAAGAAGAATGGAACTGGAGGAATCAATCTGCCTGACTTCAGACTATACTACAAAGCCACAGTCATCAAGACAGTATGGTACTGGCACAAAGACAGAAATATAGATCAATGGAACAGAATAGAAAGCCCAGAGATAAATCCACGAACCTATGGTCACCTTATCTTCGACAAAGGAGGCAAGGATATACAATGGAAAAAAGACAACCTCTTTAACAAGTGGTGCTGGGAAAACTGGTCAACCACCTGTAAAAGAATGAAACTAGAACACTTTCTAACACCATACACAAAAATAAACTCAAAATGGATTAAAGATCTAAATGTAAGACCAGAAACTATAAAACTCCTAGAGGAGAACATTGGCAAAACACTCTCTGACATAAATCACAGCAGGATCCTCTATGACCCACATCCCAGAATTTTAGAAATAAAAGCAAAAATAAACAAATGGGACCTAATGAAACTTAAAAGCTTTTGCACAACAAAGGAAACTATAAGCAAGGTGAAAAGACAGCCCTCAGATGGGGAGAAAATAATAGCAAACGAAGCAACAGACAAAGGATTAATCTCAAAAATATACAAGCAACTCCTCCAGCTCAACTCCAGAAAAATAAATGACCCAATCAAAAAATGGGCCAAAGAACTAAACAGACATTTCTCCAAGGAAGACATACAGATGGCTAACAAACACATGAAAAGATGCTCAACATCACTCATTATCAGAGAAATGCAAATCAAAACCACAGTGAGGTACCATTACACACCAGTCAGGATGGCTGCTATCCAAAAGTCTACAAGCAATAAATGCTGGAGAGGGTGTGGAGAAAAGGGAACCCTCTTACACTGTTGGTGGGAATGCAAATTAGTACAGCCACTATGGAAAACAGTGTGGAGATTTCTTAAAAAGCTGGAAATAGAACTGCCATATGACCCAGCAATCCCACTCCTGGGCATACACACCGAGGAAACCAGATCTGAAAGAGACACGTGCACCCCAATGTTCATCGCAGCACTGTTTATAATAGCCAGGACATGGAAGCAACCTAGATGCCCATCAGCAGACGAATGGATGAGGAAGCTGTGGTACATATACACCATGGAATATTACTCAGCCATTAAAAAGAATTCATTTGAATCAGTTCTAATGAGATGGATGAAACTGGAGCCCATTATACAGAGTGAAGTAAGCCAGAAAGATAAAGACCATTACAGTATACTAACACATATATATGGAATTTAAAAAGATGGTAACGATAACCCTATATGCAAAACAGAAAAAGAGACTCAGATGTATAGAACAGACTTGTGGACTCTGGGAGAAGGCGAGGGTGGGATGTTTCAAGAGAACAGCATCGAAACATGTATATTATCTAGGGTGAAACAGATCACGAGCCCAGGTTGGGTGCATGAGACAAGTGCTCGGGCCTGGTGCACTGGGAAGACCCAGAGGGATCGGGTGGAGAGGGAGGTGGGAGGGGGGACCGGGATGGGGAATACATGTAAATCCATGACTAATTCATTTCAATGTATGACAAAAACCACTGAAATGATGTAAAGTAATTAGCCTCCAACTAATAAAAATAAATGAAAAAAATAAAATAAAAATAAAGTGGGTTAGACTTCCCCAAACTGGTATCCTGTGGAGGATTTAACATATATATATAAAAAATACTCCCCTGGTCCAAAGATTTGGCAATACTAGATGTTTAAAAATTAAGCAAATTTCTTTATTTTAGGACTTTTAAGGCTTTAATAAGTAGATGTGCACTGATAACAACCTAAAACAGGAAATGGTACAGTACTTTTCAAACTTCTTTGATCAAAAATTCCTTTTGGATTTTCTTTCTTCATTTTCCTTTACTACCCTTATCAAGCTCCCACAATTATGGGAAACACTGTGTTTGGTATTTCTCTTAAAAACTCTTCTCAATCACTCTTAGGTTAGTAAAGTTGTTAGGTGGGTGGGTAGAAGTAAGAGAAGTAATATACAGAACATTCAGAAACCTATCATGTAATACTCAATAAATGCCTGAAAATACGTAAGTGCAATTCTGTAAAATCAGAAACAATAATTTCCTAACCAGAATTCTAAAATGAACCTTAATAAACTCTGAAGGAAGTTGATCATTGGGTAGGACTGTACAGTCTGTAGTCATCTGAATGAAAAATCCTCGAGCAGAGCTAAAACTTGTCCTTAAAGGAAGACTATATTTTTCTGCAAGCTGTGTTATCATTCCTAGTGGCCAGAAACAAGAAAAGCAAAAACAAAAACAATTTTGTGAGTAAATTACTCTTCATGTTTAAAAAAAATCACTAACTTTTCTTTGTTATTTTATATACAAGTAGGAAGCTCTTATTACTCTTCTTTTAACTGAAATATGAAAATGGCAACCCAGTCCAGTATTCTTGCCTGGGAAATCCCGTGGACAGAGGAGCTTGGCAGGCTACAGTCCATGGGGATGCTAGGAGTCAAACACAACTGAGCAACAGAGAGTGCACACGCACACGCACACACACTTGCACACACACACAGTTGGTTTAAATACTGCATTAGTTTCATGTGTACAACATAGTGATTCAGTAGGGTTTTTTGCAGGTTATATTCCATTATAGGCTAATACAGATTGAATATAATTCTCTGTGTTATAAATTCTTACCACTTATCTATTTTACGTACAGTAGTTTGGTAATCCCACAATCCTAATTTGTCCCTCTCTCTTTCCCTCTCCCCTTCGGTAACTATGAATTTGTTTTCTGTCTGTGAGTCTGCTCCCATTTTGCATACAGATGAATTTGTATTGTTTTTAGATACCACATAAATGTGATATATAGTATTTGTCTTTGTCTGACTTATTTCACTAAGGCTAATATTCTCTAGGTCCATCCATGTTGCTGCAACTGGCAATATTGTTCTTTTTTATGGCTTAATTATATTCTATTGTATATATACCATATCTTCTTAAGCTACATAGGCACTTGTGCTTGTTCCATGTCTGTTAGGAACATGCTGTTAGGAACACTGGAGTGCATATATCTTTCCAAATTAGAGTTTTTCTTTTTCCAGGATATATATCCAGAAGTATGATTGCTGGATCATATGGGAGCTCTATTTTCAGTTTTTTCAAGGTACCTCTATACTGTTTTTCATAACGGCTGCACCAATTTACATTCCCACCAACAGGGTATGAAGTTTCCTTTGTTACACTTTTAAACTCTTAACAATTTTAACATCTAAAATAGGTGGTTAAGTATTCTTTTAAGAAAAAAACACTATAGTAAAAAGATAGTCCTTCAGATAAATATTCTGAAAGTAAAAGAAACTGCCAAAACCAAAATAAAAAATAAAACCAAAACTAGAGTATAACCTCTATATTAGGAATATTGGAGTTTACTTAATATTTATTTCACTTGTGTGATATTATACATAGAAAACCCTACAGACTCTATCAAAAAAACTATTAGAACTCGCCAATGAATTCAATAAAGTTGCAGGATACAAAATTAATATACAGAAATCTATTAATTTGTACTTAGAAAGCTATAAGACACTGATGAAAGAAACCGAAGACAACATACATAGAAAGATATATCATGTTCACTGATTGGAAGAATTAATATTGTTAAAATGACTATACTACTGAAAAAAATGTACAGATTCACTGCAATCCATATCAAAATATCACTGGCCATTTTCACAGAATAAGTCTAAAATTTGTATGGAAACACAAAAGACATTGAATAGCCGAAACAATCTAGAAAAGGAAGAACAAAGCTGGAAGTATCATGTTTCTTGATTTCAAACTATACTGCAAATCTCCAGTAATCAGAACAGTATGGTACTGGCCCAACAGACACACAGATCAAAAGAACAGAGAACCCAGAAATGAATGCACAATAATATGGGCAATTAACCTATGACAAAGGAGGCAAAAATATGCAATAGTGTAAAAACAGCCTCTTCAATAAATGGTGGGGGGAAAACTAGACAGCTACAAGAATCAAACTGGACTACTCTCACACCATGCACAAAAATAAATTCAAAATGGATTACAGACTTAAATATAAAACTGGAAACTATAATATTTCTAGAAGAAAACAGGCAGTAAGCTCTTTGACATCAGTCTTAGTAATACATTTTTGGATGTGTCTTTTCATGCAAGGGAAATAAAAGCAAAAATAAACAAATGGGACTATACCAAACTAATAACTTTTGTACAGTGAAGAAAACCATTAACAAAACAAAAAAGGCTGCCTACTGAATGGGAGAAGACATTTGCAAATGATGTATCTGATAAGGGGTTAATATCCAAAATATACAACGAACTCATATAACTTAATATAAAAAAAAACTCATTTAAAATTGGACTGAAGATCTCAATAGACATTTTTCCAGAGAAAACATACAGTCAACAGCTCACATGAAAAGATGCTCAACATCAGTAATCATCATCAAAATGCAAATCAAAATCACAATGAGATTATCACCTCACACCTATAGAATGACTATTACCAAAAAAGACAACAAAGAACAAGTGTTGGTGAAGATGTGGAGAAAACTAAACCCTGGTACACTGTTGGTGGGAATGTAAATCGGTGCAGCTGCTACAGAAAAGTGTGGAGAGTTCTCAAAAAATTAAAAATAGGTAAATCAACTATACTTCAATAAAAATAAATATTTTTAAAAATCAAAGATAGAACTAACCATATGATCAAGCAATTCAACTCCTGGGTATTAAAAAAAAATAGACACATCCCTTGGTTTGTTGCAGCACTATTTACAATAGCCAAAATATGAAAGCAACCTTATTTCCCATCAATAGATGAATAAAGAAGTGGTGTATGGGTATGTGTATTTGTTGTTGTTCAGTAGATAAGTCGTGTCCAACTTTTTTGTGACCCCACAGACTGTAGCACACCAGCCTCCTCTGTCCAAGGGATTTCACAGGGAATCAATACTGGAGTAGGTTGCCATTTCCTTCTCCAAGGAATCTTTCCAGGGATCAAACCCTCATCTCCTGCATTGGCAGGCGGGTTCTTCACCACTAAACCACCCAGGGAAGCCTGTGTGTGTGTGTATGAATATATATATATATATATATATATATATATATATATAAAATGCTATCATCTGGCTAACACCAGCCATAAAAAAATGAAATCTTGTCATTTGTGATAACATGGATGGACCTAGAGGGTATTAAGTGAGTGAAATAAGTCACACAAAGAAAGACAAATAATGTATGATTTCACTTATATGTGGAATCTAGAAAACAAAACAAATGAATAAACATAACTGAACAGAAACATAGTTTTAGCTACAGAGAACAATCAGGCGGTTGCCAGAGGGAAGGAGAGGAAAGAAATAGTGAGGGAAATTAAAAGGTATAAATCTCCAGGTGCAACACAAGTATGAAATGTGTACACTGTGGGTAATACAATCAATAACTATGTAATATTTTTGTATGGTGACAGATCATAACTAGACATGGTGATCATTCTTAAATGTATAGAAATACTGAATCACTATTTTGTGTAATAGGAACTAACATAATGTTGTAAGTCAATTATTCTTCAAAAACAAACAAACTCAGAAAAAAAGAGATCAGATTTGAGGTTACCAGAGGCAGGGGTAAGGGGAGGGGGGATTACACAAAGGCAGTCAAAAAGCACGAATTTTAGTTATAAGTAAGTACTAAAGATGCAATGAACAACATGATAAGCATAAGTAACACTGCTGTATATGGCTGGCTACAGTCCACTAAGAGTAGGACACCACTAAGCAACTGAACACATGGACACACACAGACACGCATACACAGTACATGTGAAAGCTGTTAACAGCATAATTCCTAAGAGTTATCACAAGAAAAAATATTATTTTATTATTTATTTAATTTTATATCTATATTAGGATGGATGTTCATTAAACTTATTGTGATAATCATTTCATGAGGTATATAAATCAAATTATTATGTAAACTGTAAACTTATACAGTGCTGCATGTAAATTATCTCAATAAAGCTAGAAAGAAAATAAAAGGAAAAAAGTTATATAAATTATTGCAATAATTAGTTCACAATAAGAAATTCCCTCTAAAAAACATACTTTACCCACCAAAATATTCCAAAAAGGAAATAGGTGTTTTATCACATAAAAATCCTAAAACATTCAAATCTTCCTATCAATTGCACACTCACTACAGAGTTCTAAATTTCTAAATTCATATGTTTAACATGATGACCATTAACTATTTGAATATTACTTGAAAAAACTAACATCTTTTTTCCTCAAAATGGTTCCTCCAAGATTTTTCCTGTTTTTCCCAGTAGTATCACCATTCTCAGGTTAATCATTTCAATTAGCACCAGTGGCTAAATTTCTCTTTACTTTACCATGGCCATATCTACTCAATGATAAACTCTTATCAATTCTTCCTTTAACCTTCGTATTTCTCTTTTCTCATATACACCTGCTGTGTTAACTTGTAGTAGCTTAAAATAGTTCTTCTTTCTGTTGCTCCACTCAAATTCATTCAACATATCTTCCTGATCAAGTTCACTCCACAGAGCAAAAATATCTCACTGCCTCTACATTCTCCTTGGGAAAAACTTCCAAACTGACCTTCAAAAGCTAAATTCTGATCCCCAGTTTACATTTCTGACCATATTATCTCTTACTAGTTCTGTAAGGAAATGCCTTATTCCATCCTAACAAATTTCGTCACTCATCCCTTAAGGTTTCTTCAGGCCATTGTGCTTTAGTTTGTACTAAACTAAAGTAAAACTAAAGTACAAAAAAAAGGCGGGGGGTGGGGGGGGTGATGGAATTCCTTTTTAGGCTATTTTATGTACTAAAAACATTCCCATCCTCTATGCCTCCAGACCCAGTCATTCTCTGATCCCTCTAATCTATTTTCCTTCATTTATCTTACATCTATGTGAAATTATACACTATATATAATTAATATACCTTATATAGCAATATGGACAGACATATATACATATATATGTTTGTGTGTTTATTACCTGTCTCTACTATTATTATAGCTTCATGAGGACAGGGAATTTGTTCTGTTCGCTATATATTCCCAGTACCTAGGAGATTTTTTACTAAGAGATTTACTAGATTTTACTAGGATTTTTCACTATATTTACTAAGACATTAATAAACTCATTATATGAATTACTGTACTAGTTTGCAAATGCTATCTCTCTCAGACAAAAATATCTCTTCCTCTGCTGAAACCCATTAGCACTGATAGACAGTATTTTTCATGTAATTTATATGCAACATTGTACTAAGGTGAAAAACTACTCTCCAAGCCTTCATGTAACCCTATATTTAAATTTGAAGACACTCTATATTTAACTTTGGAGAAAAGAAGTGATACATTTTAGCACTCTGAGATCTTTATTTTCTTTAAAGGCTCCTAAGACGATAATACATTTTATCTTATTTGTTATTTGTTTTGATAACAAAAAATAAAATTAAAATATACCTGGTTAATATTATAATTAAAAAAAAAGCATGTCCTAAGACATTTTGCTTTATTTCTAAAAATCAGAAAACATGTGCTCAAGTAATTAAACTACCTGCTATGTCATCTACAATCTCCGTATATGTTCTTCTGGCTATGTCAAGAAATTCATTTATGTTAGACCTTACTGCATAGCACTTCTGAGTCCTCATGTTCAGGCATCCCTTCATGTATCTTGCATCATCATTAATTACTGTTTTAATCTTGTCAAGTATGATTCCGAACCTGAAAATCAAATTATAGGTAATAAGTTGGTTAATTTGCAACTTGAATATGTTAATGATAGCAAATACCATATCTTCTTAAAATTATTGTTAAAAATTATTTTGCAAATAAATAACCAATATATATATGAAACTACATAAGTCAGGACTCTGACTACATCAATTTTAAACTATTTTGTCAATCCTAACTACTTTCCTAAAAAAAAATGACATCACCAAGGATAATCCTACAATGGCTAATAGATCTCCCAAACTATACATACTAATTGTCTGTGTAAATATAAAAATATATCCCTGAATCACCATTATAAAATTCTGGCTTCATGCTCATTGGCTCAATTAACATTTGTTTATACCATGAGCACTGTGTTAGGCACAGGGAGTCAAAGAAGAATTAACATATGGTCCTTGCCCTCAGTTGGGGCAAGAGAGACCAAACATACTGTGAGACAGTATAAGAACTTACTATAGTGATCATGCAAACTGTAAGTCTGGTAATACCTATTTTCCTAATCTTTTATTTTATTCTGTTCTATATCTATCTGTAATAATTGTTATATTATTAACCTCATTTTGTGACCTCACACAAGGTGAGAATCTTGAATAACAGTTTTTAAGTATCATAAGTCTTTTTGGTCAAGAAAGAAGGTGCCACTGTTAAATGAAATACTAAAATTAAACTGTAATTAGATATTACTCAGTATTCATATAACTATTTTTGTTACATTAGGTCCTTATGATTTAACATAAGAGACTAATGTATTTTTATACTTGCAAGTTTTTCCATGGAGAATAGCTTAAAAGAGAAACATCAAAATTTTGTATGATTCCAATTTTTAATGCTATTCTAATTGTCCACTAACAAAAATTATGCTGTTACCCTATCGATTGTTATTTATAAAATGTAATATATAAATAAATTTTTAATAAAGAGTCTAAAGTTTTTGTTAACCAACGCTTAAGTAATTGTCCTACAGAATACAAATAGAGTTCTTAAAATCAGTAAAGATCAGGAAGAAAGGAATAATCTGCTATTTTATTAACAGTTGAATGAAAAAAACCTCTTATCTTCCAAGGAACCATAATAAGCTCTTAATAAAGGTGTGTTACAGTTCTTCAGAGTAATCTATTAAAGAATAAGATAAACATAGTTAAGGATAATAAATTATGACATTATTGAAACAAAAAATTTAGACTTGTTTAGTACTTTACATTTTACCAAGTACTCACTTGCTTCATTTTCTCATTTATATAATCATAAAAGATATTTTATGTATGTAGATGAAAGTCCATTTTCCAGATAAAGAGCACATGGCTAAACACTACCATCCACTGGTTTACTACTATGACTTATTTTTCTTGTCTCCGAACTAATCATTAGCTTTAAACTACTTATTGTTATCATTATATATTCTGAGTATTCTATGTATAATTCCAAAATGTGGGTTAAATGTACATTAAACTAAAAAAGTGTTTTGTATGTTGGTAAACAGAGCAACTTCTCCATTCTTATATGACAAAAGTAGGGATTCTTATTTTGTTTAATGGAAACTACATGTGGTCACTCTTTGAATAAGCAGAAAACAGTAGAAAATATAGATAATCTGATTTGTACCTTATTTTAGTTTTCTATGAGACAATGGCAATAATAAATTTTTGGTTTTTAATAGAAAAATAATATTTATATACCAACAAAAACAAGTAACTCATAAAAGCATAAAGAAACACATTTAGTATTCTATCATACCTCCAAAGACAAGAATTATGGTATATACCCTGTCACTTTTTCATATCAAAAATTTACATCATTATATGATCCTTTTCTCCACCACTTAATACTACATCATAAGCATTAGAAACCCTTCATGGTAAAAATTTTTAATAAGTCATAATATTCCACCTGTGGAAAGCAAATAGTCACTTCCCCTAGTTATTAGAGTTCTACACCATGTACAGTAATATAAACAAAGCTTCAATGACCATCACTGGACATAAATATTGGTCAAAATTTCTTAACAGTTCTTTTGAATAGATTTCTAGAATGTTTTGATGTCTGATGGTTTGAACAGCATCAAAACATTGCTATATGTCATAAAGCATTCCTATAAGGTATGCATAATTTTTACTCCTACCAGCTGTCTATGAAACTGCCTGTCTCGTTGTTCTCACATTAGCAGTAAGTCGGATCCATTAAGAAAAAAAACTTTGCTTAATTAATTTGCATTTCTTTGACTAGTAGTAAGTTGAACACTTTTTTATACTACTTGTTAACTACTTGGTTCCATTTTTTGGTCATTTTCCACATTTCCATTGGCACACCAGTATTTTCTCATAAAATTATATAAGTTTTATGATAATAGAAAGATTTTCTGTCATTTGTGATAAAATTTTCCTAACTTTGTCATTTTGACTTTGCCTTAGACATACCAAAGTTTGAAATTTTGTGTTTCATCAAGTATCAGTTTGGGGGGATGATTTATTATACTTCTTTCACTCTAAGAAAGATGACAATACTTTTGAAATATTTTGCCAAATTGTTGTATGTGTGTGTAGTAAAATAAAGTTTATAACAAAATTTTCCTACACTTTTCATTATTTTTTATTTTTAAAAAGTGATTCTAAAAAAAAAGTGATTCATCTTTTAATTCAAAGTTTTTCAAATGTTTTACACCATATAGAATTTAAAAATAGATGAGAAAAATCACCATTTTGTAACCATCACAGTTACGTCAGGTAAGAGTCATTAATAAATACCAAAATCAAGGAGTGAAAATTTGACAAGGAACAGTAAATTTACCCAGTCTCAAGGTATCTCTCCACAGATTACTTATAACTTTTTAGTGAAGTAATTGATCAAAATTATTATCACCAGGAAGGAAAAAGTGACATGTGCCTCTTGATACTGAGAAAGATACAACATTGGTCACACAGTACTACTGTGAAAGATGTATAAGCCAAATTTAATCATGAAGAAATAATCACACAAACAGGACTATCCTATTAAACACCTGACCCTTGCTCTTCAAGATGTCAGTATCACAAAAGACAAAAAAAAGGCTGAAAAACTTTTCAGAAGTATAAAGAACCATGACATTAAATACAATGTCTGGTCCTCGACTGGATCAGGGTGAAAAAAAAAATTACCATAAAGAACAGTATTAGAACAATTGGGAAAATGTGAATACAGTATAGGCTATACATAGTTTACAGTTGATCCTTGAACAATACAGGTTTGAACTATCTGTTCATATCCACTCATGGGTGTATTTTTTTCAATAGTAAATACTATAGTACCACATGATCTGCAGTTGACTGAATTTATAGATGTAGAACTGCAGATATGGAGGAACTATGGACAGTGAGGGATTGAGTATATAAAGAGCAACAATAAGTTATAGGTGGAATTTCAACTGCAGGGAGGGTTGGTGCCCTGACCCTCATGTTGTGCAACAGTCAACTGCAAAAATATTGTATCAGTGTTAAATATCCTGAATTTTTTAATTATATAGTAGTGATGCTATAGAACATCTTTGTTCATTAAGACGTATGCACTTTAGAATGCAATTCATTCTCAAATTGTTCATTAAGAGTAAATAAAGATAATATGTGTGTGTGCTGTGTGTAGAAGGACAGAGAAGATGGGAATTCATTAAACTATTCTTAAAACACTCTAAATGTGAAATTTTTTCAAAACAAAAACTTTTAAAAAACTGATGCTAGACATGTTCTGTATAAGACACACACACAGAAATTACCTTTAAAGGATCCACAAGTTCCAAGGTATGTTTTAGGTATATTAAATTTGTTATCTTTGATTCAGCTGCATTAACCTATTCAGACAAAAATTCAAAAGTGGACACCATAAATACTTAATATGTGAATGAATTTTCCTTTTGAACATTCTACACCTACATTTTCCAAACATTTTTATTTATTAACTGAAGCAGGAAAACCGCCTAGGTCTGGGGTCATCAATCCCAGGGCCCCATACAAGTCCATGACCTATTAGGAACCAGGCCACATAGCAGGAAGTGACTGGTGAGTAAGCAACCAGTTTCATCTGAATTTACAGACACTCTTCACTGCTTGCATTACTGTCTGAGCTTTAAATCCTGTCAGATGAGCGGTGGCATTAGATTCTCATAGGAGTTCACCACTGTGAAATACGAGTATAAGGGATCTAGGTTGTGCACTCTTTAGAAGAATTTCAATGCCTGATGATCTGAGGAAGGGCTGAGGTGGCGATGTTAGCGCTGGGAAATGGCAACATTGGCAGATAGGTTTGACTGCAGAGAAGATATATCTATGATATGAAGCAAGCATGATGCGTTGTGCTTAGTCTCAGTCATGTCCGACTCAGAGAAGGCAATGGCACCCCACTCCAGTGTTCTTGCCTGGAAAATCCCAGGGACGGGGGAGCCTGGTAGGCCACAGTCCATGGGCTGGTGAAGAGTCGGACACGACTGAGGGACTTCACTTTCACTTTTCACTTGCATGCATTGGAGGAGGAAATGGCAACCTGCTCCAATGTTCTTGCCTGGAGAACCCCGGGGCGGGGGGGGGGGGGGGGCGCGGCGCTGGTGGGCTTCCGTCTATGGGGTCACACAGAGTCAGACATGACTGAAGCAACTTAGCAGCAGCAGCAGCATGTCTGACTCCTTGAGGCCCCATGGACTGTAGCCCACCAGGCTCCTCTGTTCATGGCATTCTCCAGGCAAGAGTACTGGAGTGGGAAGCCTATCCCTTCTCCAGGGGATTTTCCCAACCCAGGGATCAAGCCCAGGTCTCCCGCATTGCAGGCAGATTCTTTACCGTCTGAGCCACCAGGGAAACCACCATAATAAATCAATTGCTTGCAGATTCATCAAAACCCTATCACTGACTAGCAAGCGACAAGCTGCATCTGGTGTCAGGCTTTAGAGAGACAAATGAGTTGATGTACTTCAATTGCACAGCTGTATCTGGTGGCAGGCTCTAAGTCAGAATCCAACTCTTATTTCAGGCCAAGCATGGGCACACATTATTTTATTTACCACTTCCATCGACACCTCTTTCCCACACTGTGCACTTGTCTTGATCACAGTTTTGGTAAGCCCACAAGCTAACCCTAGCCAAGATGAGTGAAAAAGCAAACCCCACTGGAGAGCTTCTTTGAAAAATGGGAAAGACCCAATGATGAGATAGCCGAAGACTCTAATAAGACTGCCAACCAAAAAAGCTGCATTTAAAATACCAAGAGTCCTTCTTAAATTAAGGGTTCACTGCAACAGGTGATTCATTCTCCAAGTCTGCTTTGTATAATATGTGGCAACAGGCTACTCAACGAAGCCATGAAACCTTCAAAAGTGCTTCGCAACATGAAGACCTAGCACCCTGCATTAAAAGACAAGCCTTTGGAGTTTTTAAAAAGATAAAAGTGAACACAAAGAACAGAAGTAATTATTGAAAGCCACCACTTTCTCAAATGTGTCTGCACTGACAGCATCTAAAGATTCTGCATGCTATTAAAAAAAACCGAAGATCCTGAGGGCCGTAACTAAGACTGGTGCATCCAAATAAGAAAATAAACTTATTTTTTTTTAAAGAAACTACTTCCAAAGGTAAGGAAAATAGGGTTATTTATTCATCAACTCCTATTTGGTACTTGTCAAGACCTATCACTGGGGCACTGAGGCAACAACTGATTACTCACTAGTTTCCCTTTGACCAGAGAAAAGTCCTCAGGTAGAAAGTTTTAGCTGCTTGCAGAAAGAAGCCTACCTTACACAAAAGTGAATACCAAGAGGATGTAAGTGGCACACCAGCAAGGCCTACTCCACAATAATGAGTAAAAAAACCCAATTACAAAATGGGAAATGATATTTGCAACACACCCAATCAACAACAGGTTTATATAAAGAGAACTCTACAAATCAAAAACAATGATAACTCAATAGAAAAATGGGCAAGACTTTCACAAAAGCAGATATTCAAAAGGTCAATATACATATGAAAGCATATTCAACCTCATTAACAGAAAATGCCAATTAAAACCACAATGAAATACTACTATCTACCAACCACTATAGCTAAAATTTTAAACTGACAAGATCAGGTTTGGGAAAAGAACAATAAGACTTCTCATATACTCCTGATAGAAGTGTAAATTAGTAGATAAAATCATTTTGAAAAACATTTTGGCAAATATTTTGTCATTATCTACTAAAGTTGAAGGTATACTTAATGACTCAGAAATTCCATTCCTATGTACCCAATAAAAATATGTCCAAAATTCTATTAAGAAATAGATATAAAATTGTTAAGCAATATTATCTCTAATTGCCATAATCCGCCAACAACTCAGAAGTTCAACAACTGAAATAAATAATGGCATATTCATACAGTGGAATATTATATAGCAATGAAACTAAATGAGCTATAGCTACATGTGACAACATGATTAAATCTTACAAACATAATGTTGGATAGAAGAAGCCAGAGATGTAAAAAATATACACTGAATAATTCCTTATATGTAAAGTTTTTTAAAGAACTGGTAAAACTAAGTTATGAAGAAAAATTAATTTAAAGAGTAATTAATAAAAAGTGGTTTCTTTTCAGAAGGAGGTAGAAAACAGTGAACAGGAAGAAGCAGGGGAGAGTTTCCTGTTTTGTTTTGATGTTGTTGTTTTTGGCTGCGCTGGGTCTTTGCTGCATGGTTGCACTCTAGCTGCAGTGCTGGGTCTCTCACTGCAGTGGCTTCTCTTGCCGCAGAGCATGGGCTCTAGGCTGCGTAAGTGTCAGCAGTGTGGCACTCAGGCTCAGCAGCTGTGGTATATAGGCTCAGTCACCTTATGGACTGTAGATCTTCCCAGAACAGGCGTCAAATCCCTGTCCCCTGTGTTGGCAGGCGGATTCTTAACCACTGGACCACCAGGAAAGCCCAGAAGGGGAGTTTCTGAAGTACCAGCAGAACACTGACTGGTCATCATGTGAATGTTCACTTTCATAATGCCTAAAGACATTTTTGGCTGTAACAATTGGATTCCACTGGCATCTGTCGGGTAGAAGCTATGGCCCATGCTTAGAAACAAGGTCGTGTCCAACTCTTTGCAACCCCATGGACTGTAGCCCACCAGGTTCCTCTGTCCATGGGATTCTCCAGGCAAGAATACTGGAGTGGGTTGCCATTTCCTTCTTCAGGGGATCTTCCTGAACCAGGAGTCAAACCCAGGCCTCCTATATTGCCGGCGGATCCTTTACTGTCTGAGCTACCATGGAAGCATCTAGTGGGTAGAAGCTATGGATACTACTAAACATTTTAGAATGTTTAGAATGTACAGAACAGTAAAAAAATTAACCATCTCAACAAACAAATAGTACAAAGTTGAGAAATTCTGCTGTAGAGGAGTTGGATTACACAAGTACTCTCTTAACCTCTTACGTCACTGGTGATTTCCTTCCTGCTTCTTCTTTCTCTGTCTCTTTTCAATCGCTCCTAACCTTGATAGCATTGAAAAAAGTAAACTGATATGAATTTTACAGTTTCAAGGTACTAAATGTTGTCCATACCACACGAGCAGGGAGGCAGACCAGACCCTTCCCTACGTGAGTACTCCAGATGAGTATCCAGCCCCAAATGACACCTTAACTGCAGTTTGTAAGACCTTAAACTCTTGACCTACAGAAATTGAGAGGTAATAAATATGTATAGTTTTAAGCTGCTATAGTTGAGGTCATTTGTTATGCTGCAATAGAACACTAATTTTGATCCATGGGTCAGGAAGATCCCTGGAGAAGGGAATGGCAACCCACTCCAGTATTCCTGCCTGGAGAATCTCACGGACAAAGCAACCTGGTGGGCTAAGTAAATGGGGTTGCAAAGAGTTAGAGCAACTTACTGACTGAGCAACTTACAGTCTCTTTACAGTTTGCTTTTTCAAAGCGAAGAAGAGAGTCTCACCAAGGAGAATTGGGAGACAACTCTCTATTAGCCTTTTGCATTTTTGCACATCTAATGAGCAAAGGCACTGACTGCCTTTGTTCAACATAGACTTTTCAAGTATATTTGTATAGTGAATAGACTTGAAAGATATATTGTCTACTTCTAGGGCAAAAGGTAGGTTTGCTCATGGTTCTTGAAAATAAAGATGGGGCCTCCCTGCAGAATAGCAGGCAAATATGGTTCAACCCCTAGGCTAAGAAGATCCCATAGAGTAGGAAATGGCAATCTACTCCAGTATTCTTGCCTGGAAAATTCCATGGACAGAGGAGCCTGGCGGACTATAGCCCATGGTGTTGCAAAAAGTCAGACTCAGCTGAGCAACTGAGCACACATGCTTACTGCCCATAAGATTCAGGTTCCCTAAGATCAGCAGTTCTCTCCTGTAAAACACTGTATGTGCAGGTGTCACATAGCCCTCTTCACATCACCCTGTTGGAATGGAGCTTGGGGAACCAGTGCAAGAAAATATTGATATTCTGGCCGTGGCTATTGTTATGAGTATAAAGTCCTTTTTCTGATCTAGGAGTCTGTGTCTTCTGTCAGCATTTATCAAACTGTGTCAGGCTAACTTGTCACTTTGGAAGTAGAGTAGAATATCATATCCCTTACAGTTCCTGATAACACTATGATGTAATTGCTTTAAAAAAAAAAATCTCAAAATGAATTATAAATTCCTTTGGATTAGAGACTTACTTCTTATTATTTCCCTAGCACTCACCACAGTGCTTGGTAAGATAACTTGTTGAATTAATTAAAGAAAGAGCCATGACCTAGATACTCTTTACGGCAGTCCGAAATCAATGGGAAAAAATTAAAACTTAGGTAAAACTTGAAAAAATTATTTAATATCAGTTTTCAAATGTGGGAGGAAGTACTTTGGATGTTTTATAATGGAAAATACAGACATTCTTAATGAAATATATTAAATAGTAAGATTATAAAGACTACATAAAAAGAAAAGACATCTGGATTAATTAAAATGAGAAATTTAAGTTTGATTTTCAATGAATACTTAGGATTGGAAAATATGCATTTTCTAAAAATCAATGTTCTTAACAGAAAATATAAGAATTCATCTTGGGTTAAAAATTTCACACTGGAAATTTTCAGAGAATATTGAGTTCATTCAGAAGTTTAAGCCAATCATAAAATCCAACCAACAGAACATTTAGTTCATCCACAAGTTTAAGCAAATCATGCCATTTAACCAGCACAAGTCTGAACTAATTTAGTAAATATTGTGTTTAATTAAGATATAGATGCTTATATTAAATTACTTTAAAGTCTCATTTAAAGAAATCTCCAGATGGTTAGAAAAATATCAACTGAGAAACAGTATAAGGAAGACTGAAACTTATGAATTATGTATGAAGTCAATATATTGCATAAGTTTCCTTAGAAGTTAGTAAATCTCATCTGAAAAGTATTTTTGTTAAAAAACCTCCACAAAGGACATATGTGCTGGTTAGGAAAAATTTACAACTATGACTGGTCCCCCCAAAACTAAAAAAGATAAGTAACACTGACCCTTAATAACCTTATGGAGCTAGTTACAGATTGCCTTTTCTGGACAAGAAGAAAGATTTTAGATTCTCAGTGTGCAGAATTACTTTATACCAAACCCCCTGGCTTTTCTAAAATCTGATAGTCAAATTGATTACAGAAGCTGGTTAGTTAATCACAGATATTTCCCAGAGAGCTAGTTGGCTAAAATGATACTCCTTTCTTAATAAAACCAGAAATGATCTAATGCAAAAAATATGTATAGCTGACCCTTGAACAACACAGGTTAGAACTGCATGGATCCACTTAAATTCGGATCTTTTAAAATAAACACATATGTGTACTGGAGATGTACTTTCTCTTCCTTATGATTTTCTTAACATTTTCTTTTCTCCAGCCTACTTTATTTAAGAATACAGTATAAAAACATATTGTACACAAAACATGTATTAAGTAGCTACTTACGTTATCAGTAAGGATTCCAATCAACAGTAGGTTATCAATAGTTAAGTTTAAGCGAAAGTGAAAGTCACTCAGTCTTGTCCGACTCTTTGTGACCCCTTGGACTATTACAGCCCATGGAATTCTCCAGGCAAGAATACTGGAGTGAGTAGCCTTTCTCTTCTCCAGGGATCGAACCCAGGGATCGAACCCAGGTCTCCCACATTGCAGGCCAATTGTTTACCAACTGAGCTATCAGGGATAGTTAAGTTTGGAGGAAGTAAAAAATCATGAGGAATTTCAATTGTACAGACGGGTTAGCACCCCTAAGCCTGATGTTGTCCAAAGGTCAACTGTATATTACTAATTCTTATAGCCAGTGACACTAAAGCATGAATATGTATGACTATGTAATACTACACATTACACAATGTGACAACAATGAGACTGCTCTCAGGCATAACCTGATAATTAATTCTTTCCTATAATAAAACTGAAACAAAGTCTTTGCTTACACACAGCTGAGAGTTGAATTGTATCCCCCTCTAAAAAAAGATATTTTGAAGTCTAAACACTCAGTGCCTCAAAACGCTGTCTTATTTGGAACTAGGGTCACAGAAATAACTAGTTAAGATGACATCATATTGTAGTAGGGTAGACTCCTAATTCAATACGACTGGTTTCAAATAAAACACAGCCATATGAAGGACTTCCCTGGTGGCCCAGTGGTTAAGAATCCACCTGCTAATACAAAGGATGTGGGTTTGATCCCTGGTCCAGGAAGATCCCACATGCCATGGAGCAAATAAGCCCATGAGCCACAACTACTAAAGCCCATACACCCTAGAGCCCATGTTCTGCAACAAGAGAAGCCACTGCAATGAGAAGCCTATGCACCACAAGAAAGAGTAGCCCTTGTTAACCACAATTAGAAAAAGTCTGAGTGCATCAACAAAGACCCAGCACAGCCAAAAACATAATAAACAAATAAGAAAAAAAAGACAGCCACATGAAGACACAGACACAGAGAGACCACCATGTGATGAAGAAAAGAGAGATTAAATGTATATAGCAGCAAATCAAGGAACATCGAAGATTACCAACAAACCACCAAAAGCCAGAAACAGGTAAGAAAGGATTCTCCTACAGGTTTCAGAGAAAACACAGCCCTGCCAAAATCTTGATTTCAGACTTCTACTCTCCAGACCTGCAACAATAAAATTATAGTGTTTTAAGCCATGCAGTGTATAGTATTTGTTTCAGCAGGCCCAAGAAACTAATATTAATTGTAAGTACAGAGTAGTCATTTCCTATTTCTACATTGAGTTGCATTTTTTCTGTGTTAAAACATGTCATTCATAAGTAAAACTGTTACTTAAGACACTTTTCATTTGAAAATACCATTCAAAGCAGGACATCTGGCAAAAGATCATAAGGGCTAACTGGTGCTTTGGGTTTATATTCGTAATTGATTACTCATTTTTAAATCTCTGAAAGTCTGAAAATATTTGATGGCTCCAAAAACACTGCTAAACCAGTACAGAGGTTAAAAAATAAAGGTTAATGACACATGTTAACAAGAACATATCCAGAAGTAAAGTGAAGAACCCTTTCTATATATTCTGTTGAGCAGAAGTTTTTTAATTGGATGTATTTCCAGCTTGTGTTATTTTTGCTTTTGTTGCCACTACTCTATGGTTCTTATACCACATGAGAAGTGATGCAATATTATTTGAAGGTAGACTGAATTCACCTAAAGCTGTATTCTATAAACCTGAAAGCAACCATTAAAATAAAAAAACAATGAACTTAGCCAGTAAATCAACAGAGGAGTAAAATGGGAGCGTAAAAATATCCATTTAAACCAAAAGAAGGCAGAAGAAAAGGAAAAGAGAATATAGGTGAGATAAATGTAAAAAAGTACCATAATGGCAAATTTAAATTGTAACATACTAATAATCTCATTAAGTACAAATGAGATAAACACCCTAATTAAAAGTTCATTCAAGAAGAAACAGGTAACCTGAATAATTCAGCATTATATCTATTTAAGAAATTGAATTTATACTCAAGAATCTCCCTACAAAGAATAATTCCAAGTTTTAACAGCTTTATTTGTGAATTCCACCAAATATTTAAGGAAGAAATAATATTAACACCAGTTATACACAAACACTATGAGAAACTGAAGTGGAAGGAAAGCTTCTAACCTCATTGTATGGTATCGATTAATTCTGTTTCAGATTTCAGTTGTTCTAGGTTACCTGTCATTTGTATATATTGAATTTTAAAGTGTTTCAATTATTTAAGGAAACTCCCAATTCTCCTCCTGTCCAACAGCCAAAAATTTTCCATATAATGATGTTTTTATTATAAATGAACCTTAAGAGTATTTCCTCTACAATATGAAAAGGCTTCCTAAATATAGATAAGCCTTCAATGGTTTTGCAAAGTAATCAAATTTCAAATAAAATTCTACTGATACAGGACTTCTTTCCTTTTTAAGCACCTGAGCAAAAATATGCAGGTGATTCTTGAACACCACAAGTTTGAACAGTGCAGGTCCACTCATAGGTGGATTTTATTCAATAGAGTACAACACAATCCAACTGGCTGAGTCTGCAGATGGAGAACCCTTGGATGCAGAAGGCTGACTGTAAGTTACATGCTGGTTTTCGATTGCATTGGGGTTGGGGAAGAGGCTGCCCTAACCCCCATACTGTTCAAGGGTTAACTGTAAATATATTTCATTAAAGTAAATATTTCTCAATTCACTTTAAAGAGAAATGAAAACCATCTATTATTTTCTTTATAGAATGTGCCTATAGGCACTAAGTATTTAAATTTGTAAAACTCCAAAGACTTGTTTCATATTTAAAGGTTAAGCATACTGGAAAACTAATCAAACTTCACATAATGATCATCTTTTAAAAGACCTTGGAACTAGCATAATTTTTATCTAGTTTATTAAGCAAATGTTTTGTAATCTAAGGTTTTTGAAAACTATGTCCAAACTCTTTAAATAAATATTTGATAAATGAAATATGTCAATTCCTCAATTAATAAACTTTTAAGTATATCATATATGATAACACATTGAGGAGAAAAGCTTCCTTTAAAAAGGCATAAAAATATTTCAGATAGTAATGACTAAGTACTTTTCCAAAAGACTTTCATATTTTCCAATTGTTACATCATATTAAGACAAGTTATATCACATAATATATAATAAAATAACATGTATCATACCGTGTCTTGCTTTGGAATTTGAACTAAAACAGAAAGAAGTTGCTCTGTATCAAGAAATCTTGCTATAACTGAAATAAACAGAAAATATGAGCAGTTAAACTTAATGTTACAGTTTAAAATATAGAGTATATAAAGTATTATCCCCAAATAATAATATAGCACAATTTTACCTTCAAATACCACTGCTTTAATTGTCTTCATCCATTTTACATTTACCAGAAATAAAATAATAAATTCTAGTATTCTTTTCCTAACTTTGATTACTAAGAATTTGTCTTCAAATTTTGACACTTCATATTTTGATCACCCCTTTCCTTCTTGAAACTCTACTTCTCTGACTTATAGATGTTGCTTATCATAATTTTCTTCCCACTTTTTTGATCTCTAACTTTTCTTCATGATACTTAAAAGGTAAGATTAAAAGTCTAAAAGCATCGGTCAGCCACTAACCATGTAACTTTCCAGGTGTTACCTAACTTCTCTGAACTTTAGCTGTTCTCATCTTTTAAAGATGAGATGGCTCACCAAAAAACTAAACATAGAACTACCATATGATCTAGCAATTCCACTCCAGGGTATATATCCAGAGAAAACAAAAATACCAATTCAAAAAGATACAAGTACCCCTATGTTCACAGCAGCATTATTCGTAATTGTGAAGATATGGTACCTAAATGTCCATCAAGAGACAGTGAATAAAGTTGTGATACACACACACACACACACACACATATGTATACATGTATACACACACAATGGAATACTACTCAGCCATTAAAAAAACAGTAAAATTCTGTCATTTGTGAAAACATGAATGGACCTAGAGGATATTACACTTAGTGAAATAAATCAGGCAAAGAAAGACAAATAGGTATATGTGGAATCTAAAAACTAAAACAAATGAGCAAATATAACAAAACAGAAACGGACTCACAGATACAGAGAACCAACTAGTGGTTACCAATGCCGAGAGAGTAGGGAGGAGGGAAAAGAGGTGGATGGGGGATTAAGAGCTACAAACTACTATGTATAAAATAAGTAAGCCATAAAGCATATGTTATACAGCATAGCAAACATAGCCATAAATTTGTAATAACTTTAAACAGAGTATAATCTATGAAAATTTTGAATCATTATGTTGTACACCTGACACTAATATTGTAAATCAACCATATCCCTCTGAAAATAAATTAAATTTAGGAACTTCCCTGGCAGTCCAATGGTTAAGACTCCGTACTTCCAATGCAGGGAGCACAGGTTCAACCCTGGTTGGGGAACTAAAATCCCGCATGCCACAAAATTTAATTAACTACTTAAATTTTAAAAAGTTTTTAAAGCAGAACATGAGACATGATATGTTCAAGTAACTAAAAGAAGTTCAATTATACTAGAAGAGGGCAGAATGAAAAGTGACAAGTAACAAGAGGTACTGTGGGAAATGAGAAAGAAAGCCATCCAGAAGAGTTTGGGTTTTATCCTAAAAGCATTAGAAGAGGTTGAAAGATTTTATGCAAGTGGGTATGTGGTAGCCCTGCAAAGATTTCCACATTATAATCCCTGGAACCTTTATATATGTTATCTGGTAATGGGGTCTTTGAAGATGAGATGACGTTTAAGCTTCTTGAAATGGAGAGATTATTCTGGATTATTTGTTAGTCCCATAGTAATCAATCACAAGAGTCCCTCTAAGAGAGAGCCAGGAGGATCAGTCAAAGAGAGAAGATATAATGACAAAGCAGAAGCTAAAAAATAGAGAAGAAACTATTCTCCTGGTTTTGAAGATGGAGGAAGAGCCATGAGTCAAGGAATGTAGAAGGCCTCTAGAAACTGGAAAAGGCAAGGGAACAATTTTGCCCCAGAGCCTCCAGAAAAATGGACCCACTAACAAACTGACTTTCATCCAGTAAAACTGATTTATGACTTTCAGAATTATAAGATAATTAATTTATGCTGTTTTAAGCCTCAAAATTTCTGGTAATTTGTTACATCAATAGGAAGAAACTAATAAAGAGTAATATGTTCACATTTATATTTTCAAAAGATTACTCAGGCTCCAATATAGAGAAAAGACTATAAAGAACAAGGCTGGAGGACAAGGCCAAATAGAAGGCTGCAGAAATAAATCAGATTATAGATAAGTGGTACCCTGGGCTGGAGCAGCAGCACTGGGAATAGAAGCTAATACCTATAAGAAATATATAGAAAAGAGACTTTATATTTGATGATTACTTTAATTTGATGATTACTTTCAGAGAAGGTAAGTGTCAAGAATGACTCTGGTTGGCCATCTGGTTTGGTTAAGAGCTTGGATGTAGAGCTATTCTTTGAAATCAAAAGGGACTGATTTAGAAAGAAAGATGGCACAGTCTGGATACATTAAATCTGAGGTGATTAAGAAAGATCTAATAAGTGCTCAGTAGGCAATAAGATACTTGGGGCTGAAGGTCTGTAAAGATATCTGGGCATGAAATGTAAATTTGGAAGTTACAGGTATGTGAATGTATGCAGGTCAGGAAGCAACGGTTAGAACTGGACATGGAACAACAGACTGGTTCCAAATAGGAAAAGGAGTACTTCAAGGCTGTATATTGTCACCCTGCTTATTTAACTTATATGCAGAGTACATCATGAGACATGCTGGGCTGGAAGAAGCACAAGCTGGAATCAAGTTTGCCGGGAGAAATATCAAGAACCTCAGATATGCAGATGACACCATCCTTATGGCACAAAGTGAAGAGGAACTAAAAAGCCTCTTGATGAAAGTGAAAGAGGAGAGTGAAAAAGTTGGCTTAAAGCTCAACATTCAGAAAACTAAGATCATGGCATCCAGTCCCATCACTTCATGGCAAATAGATGGGGAAACAGTGGAAACAGTGTCAGACTTTATTTTGGGGGGCTCCAAAATCACTTCAGATGGTGATTGCAGCCATGAAATTAAAAGACGCTTACTCCTTGGAAGGAAAGTTATGACCAACCTAGATAGCATATTAAAAAGCAGAGACATTACTTTGCCAACAAAAGTCCGTCTGGTCAAGGCTATGGTTTTTCCAGTAGTATGTATGGAGGTGTGTTGGGCGGTGAAGAAAGCTGAGCACCAAAGAATTGATGCTTTTGGTGATGGTGTTGGAGAAGACTCTTGAGAGTCCCTTGGACTGCAAGAAGATCCAACCAGACCATCCTAAAGGAGATCAGCCCTGGGTGTTCACTGGAAGGACTGATGCTGAACCTGAAACTCCAATACTTTGGCCACCTCACGTGAAGAGCTGACTCATTTGAAAAGACCCTGAAGCTGGGAAAGATTGAAGGCAGGAGAAGAAGGGGATGACAGAGGATGAGATGGCTGGATGGCATCACCGACTCGATGGACATAGGTTGGGTAGACTCTGGGAGTTGGTGATGGACAGGGAGGCATGGCGTGCTGCGATTCATGGGGTCGCAAAGAGTCGGACACTACTGAGTGACTGAACTGAACTGAATGATAACTATAAGACCAAGAATATGGGTAAATCATACAAGAAAATACAAAGTAAAAAGGCAACCTAAGACATAGTTTTGAAGCACCATAGCATTCAGGGAATGAGTAAAGGAAAACAAGCCTAAAAAGAAGACTCAGAAATCTTTCTTTCTTCCATTTGAAAGGAAGGACTCTGAGGTTTTCACTCTGTTACCTGAGCAATGACAGAACTTTCTAAAGACATTCCAAGACAGTCTACAGTCCTGCAGTCTATTTGTAAATTATAAAGATAACATTATAAGGGAGATGGACAGTCATAAACTTTTTAAAGAAGTGAATGACAGAGCTTTAAAAAAAGGAAACTCCAAAGAAGTAGAAGGAAAATCAAATTGTATAATCACAGAAGCAAAGAAAGGCAGTAATTCAATAAGGAGAGATTTTGGCAGTACCAGAGAAGTTGGATTTCAAATAGAACTCTGTGTGTTAGTCACTCAGTCATATCTGACTCTTTACAACTCCATGGATTGTAGCCTGCCAGGTTCCCCCATCCACAGGATTCTCCAGGCAAGAATACTGGAGTGAGTTGCCACACCCTTCTCCAAGGGATCTTCCTGACCCAAGGATAGAACCCAGGTCTCCCGCATTCCAGGCAGATTCTTTATTATTTGAGCTACCTGGGAAGCCCCAAATAGAACTAATATGTGCCCATTAAATTTAACAACAATGAGACTATGGGTAAATGTCTTAGGCTTGGTTCTCCAAAAAGAGACTCTGAAATGAGGATTTATATGCAAGTAATAGATTAAGAATTTGCTTCCATGAGAAACCAGTAGAGAAGAGAAGGACAGAAAAGGGGAAAAAAGCCAAGCAAAAGCATAATTTCAGGCAAAATTCTATGGAAGGTAACTTCAGTTCACGCTGTAGTAGAACTTCTGGACTTTAAGGTACATTCATGGTTATTGCCAAAACAGTGTGCGGCAGTTAGGCTTTCATATTCCCACATGATTCAGTCATTTGAGGGCCCACAAGGCACATTTGACCCTCTCTGCTTAGCGCACAGCCCTCCAATAGCCTGAGGGTAGACCTCTAAAGAGAGTCCAGGTGCAGGCCATCGGCAGCAAAAGAACGCAGAGAGGGGAAAGGGGCGCAGAGAAAAGTAAGAGAGACCCAGGAGGATACGGACAGAAAACCAACAATGCCTGCTACACTGACCTTGACAAGAGAAGTCTCAGTACAGTAGTGGGCACAGAAAGAAGACTGGTTGAAATGGGGTGATGAGAGAAGACAGTATGTGCATAAAATTTGTTTTTCAACAGGTGATGAATGGTAGAATAGAGATAAGATGTTGCTGTAGACCACAAGGGTGACCAGTTAAAAATAAGCCTTTTCACACCTTTTCCAAAGCCTCACAAAATACACAGGAATACATAGAAAAAAATGAATATACTTAGCAACATTGGAAATGCAGCCACAGTCAGTATAATGTCAGAATTTTGAAGAAATTATACTAATTAAAAGATATTTAGGATTGGACTGAAGAAACCTAAAGACTGTAAATGCCTTCTAGATTTTCATGTACTACTTCAGTTTAGACCACCAGAACAACAGTGGGGATACAGAAGACAGATCAAGTGGCTAAAATCCAGGAACTAGACTAGGATCAGTGCAGATAAACTGCCCTTCCACTTACAGATTTAACAAAAAAATTGCACTGCCATGCCAGTGAACAGCTGCCAAGGGCAATTCTATTACCTCATGAGTTGGATTGCATCTCCGCAAAAGAAATTTTGTAATCCCAAATCCTGGTATCTGAATGTGACATTACTTGGAAACTAGATCTTTGCAGATGTCATCAAATTAAGATAACATGCTTAGGATGAGCCTTAATCCAACAGGACTGGTATCATTTTAGGAAGACATATATTTTTAATAATTTGCATTTGTAAAAGTAGATGATATTTACCTGACTGAAGTCCAAAAAAGAGTTCCTCATCTTGAAGCAGTTCCTGAACACAATCTAATCTCATGTTAATGGTTTCAACATCAACTAGAGGTTCTAATATATTAGAACGAAGTCTTCTACTTCCTCCAGGAGTCTTAGTATAATTTAGAACACCAAAGAGTGTGTGATTATTCCTTTAAAAACACAAGTTAGGAAAATTTCATTAAGTATACAAAGAAGAAACCAATAAAACTGTAATTTAACTTTTTAAAATGTATTTATTTTAATTACTCTACAATATTGTGGTTTTTGCCATACACCAACATGAATCAGTCATGGGTGCACATGCATCCCCCATCCTGAACCCCACTGCCACATCCCTCCCCACCCCACCCCTCTGGGTTGTCCCAGAGCACCAGCTTTGGGTGCCCTCCTTCATGCACTGAATTTGCACTGGTCATCTATTTTACATACGGTAATATACATGTTTCAATGCTATGCTCTCATATTGTCCCACCCTTGCCTTCTCCCATATAGTTTTAAAATAGTCTTATAATCTACGATAGTGATTCTCAAACTTTCATATTCATACAAATTACATGAGGATTCTGATTCAGTCTGGGATGAGGCCTGATCATCTACATTTTAAATAAACTCTCAAGTATGCTGTCAGTCAGTGAAGCACACTTTGATTAAGAAGGATCTACAGCATCTTCTTGCATTAGTGAAGGACTTTTTTTCATAGACCAGTTACAATACTCAGACTAATATAAAATGTTCTAGCCCGTGGCATTCTATCAATAACAACAAGATATCAATAATACATACTTAAGGGGGAAGAGAACTTTACACTGATAAGACATGTATTTTATATAATCACTCTGTTCTAATATATGAAGTTAGAGAATTATAAAAGAGAAAAAAAGAAAATAATATCAGGTACAGAAACTATTACAAACAAACAGGACTGTACAGAGAATGACAAGAAGGGTTGCTTTAGTTAGGTTGGTTGAGAAAGAACTATATTTATAACTGACAGTTGAATTAAGACATACATACCAAGATGATGATGAGAGGGGAATAATTATGACAATGATGGTGAGAATAGCTAATATATTGAACACAAAGTATATGCCAGGCCTTATTCTAAGAAATGTACATATATTATTTAATTTTAATAACCATGGTATGAGCTAGATACTATTATTAACCACATTTTATAAGGGAAGAAACTGAAATGCAAAGAAATTAAGTAATTTGCCTGAGGTTTCCAAATAAATGAACAACAATAATAAAAGAGTTATCAGTTTAAAGGGGCAAAACAGAACAGCAATTTAAGCCCAGGTAGTCTTCCTGCTGGAGAAGGCAATGGTAACCCACTCCAATATTCTTGCCAGGAGAATCCCACAAACAGAAGAGCCTGGCAGGCTACAGTCTATGTGGTAAAAGAGTCGGACACGATTTAGCAACTAAACCACCACCCGTCTTCCTGGCTCTAGAACCAGAAAGAACAAGGTTGGTGGAGCACTGCAAAGTAAGAATTAAGGGAAATGAATAAAGAAGTTGAAAGAAATCAGAACACAGAAGTCCTTGTAGGCCATGGTAAAGAGTCTGAATTACATTCTAAAGGTAATGGGAGCACTAGAAGACTTTTAAGCATTAAAGTTTCAAGATGTAATTTCTGGTTTAAAAGGATCACTTTCTGGCCACTAGGTTGAGAACAGACTAATTGTAGGGAGAGGAAGAAGACAGAGAGACAAGTTAGGGGCTATTATACTACATAGTCCAGGCTTAAATGATGGAGGTATGGATTAGGGTTGTGGGGGCTTCCCAGGTGGCTCAGCAGGTAAACAATCCACCTGCAATGCAGGACACATGGGAGATGCAGCTTCAATCCCTAGGTTGGGAAGATAACCTGGAGGAGGAAAGGGCAACCCACTCCTGTATTCTTGCCTGAAAAATCCCATGAACAGAGGAGCCTGGCAGGCTGCAGTCCAAAAGGTCACAAAGAGTCAGACACAACTGAGCAACTGAGCAGTAAAAGTATGGTGTTAAGTTTGTAGACTTGGAAATTATAAGACAAGACCCAGAATATGAATGTACTCTAAAGGCTGAGTCAAGAGGATTTACTGACATAATGAATTTGGGTTAAGAGAAGAAAGGAAATAACAATGATTTAAGTTATCAGACTATCAAATTTTTGGTATATCAATTTAAACATATTTTTAAAGAAATTACTCAAATCAAGCCCTGGCTAGGAGTCGGGAGAAGGTTATCATAGGTAAGTCACAGGTACAATTTTGAGAACTTGCTTTTGCAGGAACAAAAGAAGTAGGGAGCACACCTAAACCTGCCATTTGCTATATAAATCAATGGTGGAAACTATACTGAACAAGTGACAAGTCCATAGAAGCATTAGAGCTATTCAGATAGTTCAGTAGGTAGCATGCTCATCTTTCAACCTAATATTCTTTGGTTTAAATCAGGGAAAAGACCTCAATTTCTCCTCTCAACTACAATATGAACTCTTGGAGGTCAAATATCCTATCATTTAATATATAGCAGAAACTCAAGCAACGTTTGATGGTGACAATGGTCAAACAATGATTATGAAATGTGCCAAACTAAAACTGAGTATAAAACCCTTTGTAATAATTACCAGTCTTAGTTATTGACTGTCTATGTTACCCTATGTTATTTTAACTTAGAAAGTCAACAACAGAATTGTTTATTGAGATTTTATTTTATCTTTTTCCAGGCAACAGAAAAAATATTACTTATTCACTAAACTGGAAAGGAAAAACTACTATTAATTACATTCTCCTTTAAAAGGTTATAATTTTAGATCACTATTATCCAGTGGAACTGCAAAGGTACAGAGGTCACTACACTGATGGATGACAAAAAGTACTATATACAGTAATATTACTACTTTACTAAAAGTAGTACCAACAGTACCTAGATAGATCTAAACTGTTCTTGATGACTGAAGTAAATAATAAACAAAATTAGATACGTCTGGAGATTTCATATAGTGGAAAGTAAAGCCAAGATAAGATAAGAATGCACAAAGCAACAAATATTTAAACACTGCAGCTCTGAAACTGGCACAAGCACCTTAAGGCTTCAATTGTCTAAAGCACTCTTTATTCTATTCAATACTCTTAATACTAAAATTTGTATTTAAGTTTGTACCTTTCATTGATATCTGTGGTTTTCGATATATTAATTACTGAAAGCTGAGATTTTACTCCAAGCTTACTTACTCCCAACCTGCACTTTACCAAACTAAATAGCTTAAGTTTCCTTGCACATACCATATTACTATATTGAAAATCGTGCCTTCAAAACTTTTTTATTCACTCGCTTACTATTTTTTTTACTCCTTAATCCGGATAACTTCTATTTATATTTCAAAACTCATGTCAGGGCTAAAAAACAAAAAAAAAAGTCAAGGTATTAACCCCACTATAAAACTGTTTCTATAATAATTCTTTTACTCCTTAACTAAGACAAATTAACTTTCTCTCTCTGCTATGATCCCATCATTTTTTATGCAAATTTTCATCACCATACAGTCAACCCTTTCTATTGGCAATTGACTCCAAGACCTTTAACGGAGACCAGAATCCGTGGATACTTAAATCCTTTATATAAAATGGCCTACTACAGTGGGCCCTCCACATCCACAAGTTCCATATCTGTGATTTCAACCAACTGTGGGTCCCTCGACTACAGAGGGCCTGATGTACTTAGTACATGTTAATGACCTATGATACTATATGTCTCCTCCTCCAGACTATAATTCCTCAAGGAGATAAACCATTACTCACTAATTCTTTGTACCAAATTGAACCCATATTAAACTATGTAGTTTATCCCGACTATAAACACCACCACAGGTTAATTACATTATCTTCTAATGACATTTTGATTCTAATTTAGGTACCTCAACCATTATGAAATCTTATAAAAACCTCATGTTTACAGTGTGTATGTGCATGTGCACAGACAACACACACATATGCACAAACACATGAGCAATCTCCCATTCTCCCTTTCATTCATGTTTACCATCAATATTCATCTAACTGAAGCTAATAATAAACCAATAAAACCAGCAATCTAGTCATACACAAAGACCATTTTTATCATTTTCAACTACTTCACCTTCTCAAATGATTATGTAGCCCCTTGAATTTCCTGTATTTAATGCTTTTAAAACTGGTTATTTTAGCATTGTAGTATTCTGCACACAGTAACTTCTTTTTTATTATGGTACAACATACAAAACACAAATTTTACCATTTTAACCATATTATGCTCACTATTCAGTGCTATTAGGTACACTTGCAATAATGTGCAACCATTACCACTATTCATTTCCAGAGCTTTCTCATCATCCCAAACATAAACTCTGAATCCATTAAACAATAACTCTCCCATTCCCCAGTTCCCCCAGCCCCTGATAACCTGTCTACTTTCTGTTGCCATAAATTTGCCTATTCTAGGTACTTCACCTTTTGTGTCTAGCATATTTCACTTAATACAATGTCTTCAGGATTCCTACATCTTGTTGCAGAATTTCACTCCTTTTTAAAGCTGAATGATATTCCATTATATGTATACATCTTATTTGTATATGCTTTATTGGTCACTAGTTGATGGACAATTGGTTTGTTTCCACATTTTGGCTACTGTGAATAATGCTGCTATGAATACTTGTGTGCAAGTATCTGTTTGAATCTCCACTCTCAGTTCTTCTGGGTGTATACCAAGAAACAGAATTTCTGGATCATATGGTACTGCCAAATTTAGCTTTTTGAGGAACCACCACATGGTTTCTCAAAGTGACTGAACCATTTTACATCCCTACCATAAATGGATTAGGATTCTAATTTCTCCATCCTTATCTTCCATTTACTTAATAATAACCATACTAACAGTGTGAAGTGATAACTGTGTTTTTGATATGTATTTCCCTAACAACTAGTGATGCTGAACTCTTGCTTATTGTACCTCTGTATATCTTCTTTGGAGAAACGTCTGTTCAAGTCTTCTGCTTAATTTTGAAATGGTTGTCAGCTTTTTTTTTTTTCTTATTTATTTTTTTTCATTTATTTTTATTAATTGGAGGCTAATTACTTTACAATATTGTAGTGGTTTTTGTCATACATTGACATGAATCAGCCATGGATTTACATGTGTTCCCCATTCCGATCCCCCCCTCCACCTCCCTCTCCACCCGATTCCTCTGGGTCTTCCCAGTGCACCAGGCCTGAGCACTTGTCTCATGCATCCAGCCTGGGCTGGTGATCTGCTTCACCCTAGATAATATACATGTTTCGATGCTGTTCTCTCGAAACATCCCACCCTCGCCTTCTCCCACAGAGTCCAAAAGTCTGCTCTGTACATCTGTGTCTCTTTTTCTGTTTTGCATATAGGGTTATCATTACCATCTTTCTAAATTCCATATATATGCGTTAGTATACTGTATTGGTCTTTATCTTTCTGGCTTACTTCACTCTCTATAATGGGCTCCAGTTTCATCCATCTCATTAGAACTGATTCAAATGAATTTTTTTTTCTTATTTAGTAAAAATATCTTTTTAAAACTTGATTTTGATGAAAACATTTGAGCAGTTCAGCAACAATGGTACCAAGTATTAAAAACGTTTATTTTCAATATTTCTCCACCGAACAACTTTAAAAAATATAAAGTAACTATTCATAGGAAAATATGACACTACAATATACTGATATATTTCCTAATAAAAAATGGATAATCTTACCTAGAGTCTTGATTATTAATTAGTAATTCAAGGTTTTGGGCTGATGATGAATCTATCATGGCTGTCTGTTCACTACCCTGGAAACAAATCTTTAGCGATTTTGGTGCATAAACTGAATTTTGAATAAATTCAACATATTTTAATAAAGCTGCAACAGCTGCAAGGCAGTAATATCTGTAAGGTAACCAATGATACATCACTATAAATCTCTGTAATAAAAGTATTGCTATAAATGAAAACATTTATTTTACTTTTAATAGCAAAATTATAAATATTTGCATAGCATTGCTTAAATTCAAAGGGAAAAAGCACTCCAAGTGTTCCTCATTTTTGATGACTAGTTAAATTATCTTTAAAGCATAAAAGTTGATAAAAACAGACAATTTTCTGAAGTCTGAGACTTAAAGAATAAGTTTAAAGAATAAAGTTATAAAGAATAAAAAATGGATTCACAGTAAGTCATGTTAGAATTCAACATTCAATGGCACCATTCTAAGTACATATTCAAATAATATTGAGAAAGTCTGAGGGCTTAAAAGGTACAGTCAGGAGATCATAATGTATAGGAATGTACCTCATTCCTATATACATCCTATAATGTATAGGATCTTGGTGAGAAAAGTCATCATGATTAACTTAGTGAACAAATAGTCCAACCCGGCTCAAAGAAAGTATCTGTTCAGCATGTTCTAAAAAATATCCATTCCAAAAGTATCATTTTGCGTTGGTGGTATAGTGGTGAGCATAGCTGCCTTCCAAAAGTATCATTTCCTGTTTCATTTCGAAGGGGTAAAGGTGTGAATTAACAGGAACACAGCTTTACCTGTGTTTCACTTCCGTGCCCTCACATTTCTAGTAGCTCTGTCTACTTAAGCTTTTCATTTCAAAGTAAAGTGAGCAGCAATGATTAGGGCAATAGATTATGACTAATTTGGAGAAATTCTATATAAATTAAGTCAGCAATATATGCCCTGTGTATAAATTTCAGTTAATACTTTACTATTCAGTAATTACTGAGTGTGTTTTATGAAACTTTTCTTAGCATTTTTTTCGGTAGTAGGGATATAGCAAAGAACAAAACAGACAAAAGACATTTCCTTCCTGGAATACACTAAAGACTTACTACTTGCCCCTAAACTTAACTTACTTGGACTGAACCTCCATTAGGACAGTGTTGAATTCTGCTATGCATAACTGTTCAATGTATTCTAGTCCTTTTGTTTCATTGAAGTATTTCCTTTGGATTGTAGTGAAATTAACATTCTGAAAAGAATTTTTAATTTCAAAATAAATTTTAAGTTTCATGCACAAAACTGCTTCCTTAAATACATGCTCATACACAGGTAGGTGGCTCAAAATATTGTGCAAAGCTTATTTTTCATTATTTATTATTTTCTAGAGTTAAATAAGTTTTTCTAGTTATTTGCTAAGTGAATTTGAGTAGTCTGTAGCTCTTATTAATCTATACTCACATGAAATTTAAGTACAATAATAAAAAAAAATGAGTCTCTGACTTCTACTAACTTTATTCTACAGCAACAACAAAGGTTTTACATTCAGCATCATATTGGGCTTCCCTGGTTGGCTCCACTGGTAAAGAATCCGCCCACAATACAGGAGACCTGGGTTGGATCCCTGGGCTGGGAAGATCCCCTGGAGAAGGGAAAGGCTAACCACTCCAGTATCCTGGCCTGGAGAATTCCATGGACTATATAATCCATGGGGTCACAAAAAGTCGGACACAACTGAGTAACTTTCACTTTCAATATATTATCATAATTGAGAGAGGGTAAACATTATAATATACTAGTTGGGAAAGCAAAAAATACCAATTCCAGATATCAAATCTATGAAATATTATCTACTTGAGGTGAATTTAATTTATAGAATAAAGAAAAGGAGATAATGGAACTTTTTAAAAAAGAGCAAAATTTTTAAAAAAGCATGCAGTCGCAAAATAAAATGTCTGCTTATTTTGAATAAAAGTATTAGGTAAAAAAGGCAATATATTAGTAATGGACTCTGAAAGAGTTGTAAGACTGAAAAAGTCACAAGCAGGTATGGAATTTGATAGGTCTCAAGACTGCTTGAACAGTTATCTCATCTAATCTTCCCAATATAACGCTATGACATAAGTCATATTTATCTACAATTTTCCTCTAAGTCAAATTCTGAGAAGCCAAGTAACTTTTCTAATATCAAAGAATTGACATATGCCAGATATGCCAGAGCTCAGACTTGAATTTAGATTTCTTTGACTACAAAGTCCATGTTTCTTCCATTTCATACTGCTTACTTGATTGAGGTTGTTTTATGGTAAGTGTGATAATAATGTTAACAACAATAATAACATTGGGGTTTTGTTCCCCTCTGCTTATGATTCTTTCATAAAAAATATTGAGGTGGCCAAAAAGTTCGTTGGGATTTTTCATGTTATGGAAAAACCTGACCAAACATTTTGGCCAATTCAGTATTTCTATAGGACTTCCTAGGTGGCTCAGTGGTAAAGAATCTGCCTGCCAATGCAGGACATGCAGGAGACACCTGTTCAACCCCTGGTTCGGGAAGATACCCTGGAGAAGAGATTGGCAACACACTCCAGTATTCTTGCCTGGGAAATCCCCTGGACAGAGGGGCCTGGCAGGCAAGAGTCAACAGGGTCGCAAAGAGTCAGACAAGACTTACTGGCTAAGCATGCATGCAATACTTCTACGGCTCTCTCACTCTCACTCCTTTCAGGACTTTGCCCAAGTGAAACCTCACCAATGAGACTATTTCTGATTACCAGATATAAAACACCAGTTCTCTAGGAGGTAGATACTATTATCGTCCCTATTTTACTGACAAATAAAAACTGAAGTTTAAAGAGGTTGTATGGCATCACTGACTCAATGGACATGGGTTTGGGTGAACTCTGGGAGTTGGTGATAGACAGGGAGGCCTGGGGTGCTGTGGTTCATGGGGTCACAAAGAGTCAGACACGACTGAGTGACTGAACTGAACTGAACTGAAATAGGTTGAGTAATTTAACTTGCACACAGTCATTTAGAATCAGGATTTGAAACCACAACAGTCTGGCTCATATAGCACTAGGCTATATTGCCTTTCATCTCAAGGGTAGTAGATATATGTTGTTTTCACCTTCAGAGGATTCATCTATCCTACAGTCTATGTTGTTCTGTCCATTTAGGACTGTCAATTATAGTACTCTGTGCCCCACAGCAAAAAGTCAATGACCAGGGATTAATCAATCATAGTGCTTCTACCCCCAGAAACAGAGATTAATATAACATGTGGGAGCATGAACAAAACAGTAACAGTTCAGGGTCCTTCTCGTGAATTCATATATGAACACCGGAAGGAAGAAGTTACTTTTCTGCCTCGTGTATACTCCAGAAAAGCCCCTTATTACCTAAAACATTTTTCTTTTTTCAAAGTAGATCAAATTAAATAAGTGAATTCCTCATCATTTTTATTACATGTATTCAGTTCAGTCGCTCAGTTGTGTCTGACTCCTTGCGACCCCACTGACTGCAGCATGCCAGGCTTCCCTGTCCATCACCATCACCAACTCCCGGAGCTAGATCAATCTCATGTCCATCAAGTCGGTGATGCCGTCCAACCAACTTATCCTCTGTTGTCCCCTTCTCCTTCTGCCTTCAATCTTTCCCACTACTAATTATATGTATTAGTAGTCCCTTGGCTTAGGACTTGTACTTAGTGAGTACTTTATGGTAAATATAAAGTTACTAAAATTATTGTTCTTAATATATTATAAAATGGATTTTAAAAAAATATGAAGATCTTGAATGTTACTATTGAGAATTTAAAAATCACTTACCTTGAAATTTTCTGTGATAAGAGTAAACAACTTGGTTGAATTCCCCACAACACAAGCAGTATTTGACATTATTATTTCCAATGGTGATAAAATTTTAAGTTTAGTGATCACCTAAAATTGTTTGAATAAATAATCTCTTAAATGTAGGCTTAGGAGTCTCTAAAACCAAAAATGTTTCATATTTTTCTGAGAGATAAGTGCTTATAATTAATTCAGAGACATACGAAATCACAACTGTCCTAATAATATATTTCAATTAAACATATTTCTAATGGTGCTATGTTAAACATACATTCTATAAAATTATAAATATATTATCATAAACATAGGACGTATTTTACTCACAATAGTTTGTATCAGCTGTAAGCCCCCAAATAATTTGAAGTTATCGAGTATGTATTCCTTAAAAACAATTTTTTAATAAAATCATCTAGTCGGTATTTTATTCATCTCCATGAAAAACATAAATATTCAATAGCTAACTATGGTGACTCAATCAGTATGGCCACACTGGTATAGCTTAGAAACTGAAAAGTACAGAAACACAGATAAGAAACATCTGTTTTATGACTGATGCTTTTCACAGTGTAAGGTAAATTTATTAGAACTATTCTAGACACAAAAATTCTTAATATGTCAAACATTCCAGTCTAAAAAAAAAAAATTTTATCCTATCATTTTTAAATTGCAAAGAAATGTGAAATACCCAGATATGTAGTACTAATATCATTTAGGTTGTTAAGTATATTAAAAAATTAATTATTATGTAGAGAAAGGAAATCTACATACTATGGAACCAAAAAGGGGAATGAGAGAAAGAAATAAATAATAATAAAACATTAAAAATAACATAGTATTTAATATTTTTTCATAACAGAATTTGAGTCAAATAACTTTTTAGAATATAGAGATTAGGAATAGACTACCTGTACCTAACAAGTTACACAAATTCCCATGACAACAGACCAGTGGCCCAAATTAATGATGAGTGATAGGAAGTAAAGGCAAGAAGTTGAGGGACTAAATTATCACTGATCTAAAACACTAGTCTCCCTTACTTCTAGAAAATAAAGTTAAAATACATTTCAGTGGAAACAACCCTTTGGAGATAGCATTATGACACATGCTATTTTTGGAATAAGTCCAGGAATTATTAGAAGTTATTAATTTTAGAAACATTAATAGTAATTTGGAATATTCAAGTAACAGCAAAACATGTTATTTCAGAACAAAATAATATTTAAAAATTAAAATCAGATGTAAAAAATGTTTCTTTTAATCTAGAGTACCTAGATTGGTGCAATAATGAATAACCATTATTCTAACAAAAAGTAAACAAATTACAGAAGCAATGAAAATCTTCAAAGTACCCTCTAGATGAACCATTTCCTAGGAGTATAAATACTCACCTTTGCATATGTTGTATTGTCCGCAAACTGAGATAATACAATTTGTGGGCTTTTTAAATCAATACTTGCCATTCCTATTTCACCTCTGGCAAGTCCTCTCCCTTCAACAACAGCTACAATAACTGAAGGAGAGTGTGCAGAAACTGCAGATGAGGATGTAGCTGTCAAAATTGTTGAAAGAAAATATATAAACATAATACTTTGTAGTTCTTTCTCATAAGATCTCAAAGCACCAAATCAAGGGCAGAGTTTTAGCATCTAAGAAAAAATCTTGTTTTCCTCATCAAAATAAAATCTTTCCACATCCAGACCAAATAAAAATGTTAATTCTCTATTTTGCCAAAACTTAACTTCACATTTAGAAATAATAAATTCCATATTGTCTTATTTTGCATTTTACTGGAATGAAATAATAAAGAAATACTAAATTTGGGATAAGAAAACATTATTTATCTTATTTTGTCATTTAAAAGCTATAGGAATTTGAGCAAATTATTTCATAATAAGCAATCAAAAATCACAAAATACAATGTAATAATAACTGCCCTATCTGACTAAAGAGGTAGCTGAAAGAATCAAATGGGATAATATACACAAATGTATTTTATGTAGTATAAAACATACAGCTACAAACTGTAGTAACTTATCTGTGTAAGGTTGGATATTTTATTAATGTGCCAAGAATGTTCAAAGTTCTTTACTTGAATTAACTTTCTCACCATGATTGTTTCAATTGTTGCTGTTCATTCACTAAGTCATCTCCATCTCCTTGCAACCCCATGAACTGTATGTAGCACACCAGACTTCCCTATCCTTCACTATCTCCTGGAGTTTCCTCAAACTCATGTCCATTGAGTCAGTGATGCCATCCAACCATCTCATCTCTGTTGCTCCCTTTTCCTCTTGCCCTCAATCTTTCCCAGCATCAATCTTTTCCAATGAGTTGGGTTCTTCACACCAGGAGGCCAAAGTACAGGAGCTTCAGTTTCATTATCAGTTCAGTACAGTTCAGTTGCTCAGTTGTGTCCGACTCTTGGGGACCCCATGAAATCACAGCTTGCCAGGCCTCCCTGTCCACCACCAACTCCCGGAGTATACTCAAACCCATGTCCATCAAGTCGGTGATGCCATCCAGTCATTTCATCCTCTGTCGCCCCCCTCTCCTCCTGCCCCCAATCCCTCCCAGCATCAGGGTCTTTTCCAATGAATCAACTCTTCGCATGAGGTGGCCAAAGTACTGGAGTTTCAGCTTCAGCATCAGTCCCTCCAAAGAACACCCAGGACTGATCTCCTTTAGGATGGACTGGTCGGATCTCCTTGCAGTCCAAGGTACTCTGAAGAGTCTTCTCCAGCACAATTTCAAAGCATCAGTTCTTTGGTGCTCACCCTTCCTCTAATTAATGGTCTAATTCTCAAATCCGTACATGACTACTGGAAAAACCACAGCTCTGATTATATGGATCTTTGTTGGCAAAGTAATGTCTCTGCTTTGTAATTTGTTGTTTAGGTTTGTCATAGCTTTTCTTCCAAGGGGCAAGGGTCTTTTAATTTTGTGGCTGCAGTCACTGTCTGCAGTGATTTTGGAGCCCAAGAAAATAAAGTCTGTCACTGTTTCCAATTTTTCCCCATCTATTTGCCATGAAGTGATTGGACTGGATGCCATGATCTTAGTTTTTTAAATGTTGAGTCTTAAGCCAGCTTTTCTCACTCTCCTCTTTCATACTCATCTAGAGGCTCTTTAGTTCCTCTTCACTTTCAACCATTAGAGTGGTATCATCTGCATATCTAAGGTTGTTGATATTTCTCCTGGCAGTCTTGATTCCAGCTTGTGATTAATCCAGCCTGGCATTTAACATGATGTACTCAGATAGAAGTTAAGTAAGCAGGGTGACAATATACAGCTTTGACATACTCCTTTCCCAATTTTGAACCAGCGTCCAGTTCTGTTGCTTCTTGACCTACATACAGATTTCTCAGGAGGCAAGTCATGTGGTCTGTTATTCCCATCTCTTTAAAAATTTTCCACACAGTTTGTTGTGATCCACACAGTCAAAGGTTTTCATGGAGTCAATAAAGCAGAAGTAGATTTTTCTGGAATTCCCTTCCTTTTTCTATGATCCAACAGATATTGGCAATTTGATCTCTGGCTCTTCTGCCTTTTCTAAATCCAACTTATACATTTGGAAGTTCTTGGTTCACTGCTAAAGCCTAGCTTGAAGGATTTTGAGCATTATCTTGCTAGCATGTGAAATGAACACAATTGTATGATAATTTGAACATTGTTTGGCATTGCCCTTCTTTGGCACTGGAATGAAATCTGACCTTTTCCAGTCCTGTGGCCACTGCTGAGTTTTCTAAATTTGCTGATATACTGAGTGCAGCACTTTCACAGCATCATCATTTAGGATATGAAATAGCTCAGCTGGAATTCCATCAGCTCCACTAGCTTTGTTTATGTAGCGCCTCCTATGACCCATTTGGCTTCCCACTCCAGGATGTCTGGCTCCAGGTGAGTGACCACACCATCAAGGTTATCTGGATGATTAAGACCTCTTTTGTATTTGATTCTATCAATAGACATAATTAACTTCACCATTTACTTCTAAGGAGATTGAAGCTTGAATGGAACTGGTAGAATTTGTACACAGGTGGCCTGAATCCAGACCTGGCGCTCTTAACCACTACATATATTACTGATTTTGAAATTTATGCCTCACAGACCATAAATATTCAGGTAAGTAATAACTTTTTTAAATACCAAACATTTTAAACAAAGTTGTTATAAGAATTCAATGTAATACAGAACAGCTTTATAAAGCATATGAAATTATAAGGCCATTATTCATGGATTAAAAATATCATACTACTAAACATATCTAAGATTTTTTTCAAAGAAGCAAAATTGTATTTTATTCCCTTTAAACCTTTCAATGTACCTTTTCTTCCCTCCTTTCCCTCTCTAATCTAGAATCCTTTTTTCTTTTCTATTCTTCTATTATAACACTTACAAAATTATTTACACATTTATGCTATCTTAGTCAGTAGTTGACTTAAGAGTTCATTTAAAAATCTATGTGTCTAAATCTCAGAACCTTTTTTGCCATGCAGGCTTTGTTATCCTTGGTGATTGGGTTTATATTAGATCTACAGAAGTCAGTTTAAGTCTGCAATCAAATACAATCTTTTCATTTTTAACTGGAAACTATATATCAAGTTTCAGTACTTGGAAATTCAGTACACTCAGAAGACATCTCCCTTAAACTTTAAAAAAACAACATCTGCACTGTTCTCTCTCTGATATAAGTAATACTAAAACGGGCATCATAGTACATAAAGCTTTTTTCTGGGTCTCGTATTACTTCCCTAAATTGGCTCCTTAGAAGTCAAATTACTTCTGGATGGAACAAAGGAAAACCATCACTTTTAAAGGATGTCACATATATTGCCAAATTTCTTTTCATAATTGTACCGACTTTTAATTCTATCTACAGTATATGAGAAAAACCAATCTTACTGAATCCTTATCATTACTAATTCCTGTAATGTATTGTTATTTTTATTATTATCATCTGCTTTAATGAACTGAGGCCTAAATATTTGTTTTTTAAAATTGCTATCAAAATTGAACTTCACTTAAAAATCCATTTGTTTTCTGTATTTTGAAATGGTCCACAATGCCTCTGCCATCTATGAACTCACCATCTATGAGTTCACCATCTATGAACTCACAGAATGCCTTATCCACCATCAAGGCATTTCGCACAGTATTGCATCTGATCAAGGAACTCACTTCACAGCAAAGGAAAAAAATGTATCAGTGGGCTACAGCCCATTGAATCAACTGTGTATACCACATAACCCATCACCCAGACATGCCTGGCTTAATCTAAAGGCAGAATAACTTACTGAAGACTCAATGCCATTTGGGAGGCAACACCCTGTAAATAGGATTCTCTCTTACAGGATGCAGTTTATATTTGGAATCATAGATGCTGTATTCCTCATAACTAGAATACACAGGTCCAAGAATCAACGTGAGAATGTAGGAGTGGCTACTGTCTCTATTATGCCTACCAACCCACCCAAAGAATTTTTGTATCCCATTCTGGCAACGTTGAGCTCTGTTGGTTTTGAGATCTTAGTCTACATATGGTTATTGGCTCCACCATGTAAACTAATAATGATTCTACTGAACTGGAAGATAAGATTGTCACCTGTCCATTTTAGGCTCCTTATTTATGCTACTGAAACAATAAGAAAAAAAGAGAGTTATCTATGAATGGTCTGGTCAATCCTAATTGCCAAGGGAATATTATGCTGCTATACACAAAGAAGGCAAAGTGGACTATGAATGGAACCCCAGGGATTTGCTAAGGCACCCCTTGAAAGTGAAAGTGAAGTTGCTCAGTCGTGTCTGACTCTTTGCAACCCCATAGACTGTAGCCTACCAGGTTCCTCCATCTATGGGATTTTCCAGGCAAGAGTACTAGAGTGGGTTGCCATTTCCTTCTCCAGGGGATCTTCTCGACCCAGGGATCGAATCTGGGTCTCCCACATTGTAGGCAAACACTTTACCAGCTGAGCCACCAGGGAAGTCTTAGTATTTCCAATAGTAAAGGCTAATGGAAAACTACAGCAAGCAAAACTGGCAGAATGACTAAGGACTCAGACCTTTCAGGAATGAAGGTCTGGGTCTTTCCACCCTTACTGCTGCAAGTTAGGGAAATTCAAAATGGGTAGTGGAAGAAAAAAACCAAATATATCAACTGTAACATCATGACCAATTACAGAAACAAAAACTGCATTAGCTTTGGATATTATCTCTACGCTTTGTTATATGCATGTTTATTTGTACAAACTAACCATTTTTTTCTCTCTTTTCAATTTTAAAAAGTTTATTCACAAGTTAATGGAGGTTTAGTCGTTAAGTAACAGAATATTCCGTAGGACCGTGACTGAATTTGAGATAATTAATATGCAATGACTGTTGGGACTATGAATTTTCTTATTTTGGAGAAGAGTGAGAACCCCCTCACTTGTAAGTACAGATGTACAACATCCTGTTAGGTAAAAACATAAAGTCATTGTGTTGTTTTAAAAAAAATCCAGATGTGTATAGAATGACATATACAGAAGCTCTATAGCCAAAGGAGTTATGACAGCTACCAATTTATTGTCACTCAGCTCCAAATTCACACTTCAATATAAGTTTTACAATAATGGACAGAATCGCTGTAAGTATTTCCCCTTAAAGTACGCATAATGTTAAGTTTTCTCAAATGAGGGCACTGGAAGGACCTTGCAGAATGACGGGCTCTCCTGCAGTTTGCGCTACAGTATGGTGGGTCAGTAGTGTAGATATGAGGACATCTGGTGGTGATGTGCCCAGTTACACATCCAGAATGTGCTGTACTCTGGTGATCACACAGCTACAGCATGGCATAGTAACAACCTTCCCTCAGCCCTCTGAATACACATATCCTGCACTCCAGGCCTCCTGCCCATACTAATTCCCTTGGCTCTTTCATTCTTTCCTCAAGTCTGCCTCCCACAGTCCTCTTGATGTCAACCTTCCCAACAGGGAGACTGTGTACTCCAGGCCTCCAACCCACACCAGAGCCCACTCCCATTACATAGCTAGCCACCAGCTATAGTTCATCCACCCCACCTGCCTCCCGTTCGCCCTGGACAGCAGACCAGCTCTGACCTGGCAAATCTGCAGGCACTACTGAAATTGCCATTCAGTATTCACATTCTCCAAAGAGATCTGTACTCCAACCTTGGAAATGGGACCCAGACGAGGGTCACTTCCAAGTGTGACCTCTTAGGAGCCCCCTCAGCCCTAGGGTGCCTCACAGAGTTTTCTTATACCCTATAGTTATTCTTTCATTACAGTTTAATAATTCTTTATATTAAATCTTTCCTGTTTAAATCTTGTATGGTTTTACTTCAGATTGGATTTTAACTGCTACAGTCTCTGTCTTCATAGAGTTTATAGTCCAGCAAAGAAGATACACACTTTAAGAAAAATAATCCACCTCATTTATAACCAGGAAAATGCTAATTCAGACTATACTCAGGTGCAAGTGAAAGCTGCTCAGTCGTGTTCAACTCTTTGAAACCCCATAGGCTATACAGTCCATGGAATTCTCCAGGCCAGAATACTGGAGTGAGTAGCCTATCCCTTCTCCAGGGGATCTTCCCGACCCAGGAATCGAACCGGGGTTTCCTGCATTACAGGTGGATTCTTTACCAACTGAGCTATGAGGGAATTTTACAACTGCTTGACTGTTAAATGTTAAGGAGTCTGACAGTACCAAATGCTGGGTAGGATATAGATCAACAAGAACACTCATACATTGCCAGGAAGAGTATACATTAGTAGAATCACTTAGAAAAATAATTTGTCATTATTTTGTAAATCTACATATTCATATACCTTCTTAAATTAAATTTTTTTTAATTTTTAAATGGAGGATAATTGCTTTACAATGTTGTGTTGGTTTCTGCCATACAACAACTAAAATTGTCCATAAGCATACATATATCCCTCTCTCTTGAGTCTCCCTCCCACCCAAACCCCTATCCCACCCCTCTAGGTTGTCACAGAGCTCAGGGTTGGGCTCCCTGTATTATATAGCCATATACCTTTAACTAAATGATACTTACAAATGTAGACCTACTTTACCCATTTTCCCCTCAAAAAAATCTAAACCTAGATAAATACTAAAATTTAAATATTAAAAAACACTCAATAGTATTACAGGACCAACTTTAGATTTAAGCAAATATGTATAAAAGGAAGGGCTTTCTCTTTCTTGTACTTTTTTTTGTCAGAATGATGAAAACTTAGACCTGCATTTTTAAACAAACAATATCATAAACTATGTAGTGTCATTAACTTAGCATCAAATTGTAGATATGGCTAAACTGACATAGTTATTATTGTCTTCCATGTTAGCTTCAAATAATCTCATACTACCTTAATTACCCTAATATATAATTTATAAAATTTTAAAAGTTTCAAAGATCAATTAAGTCAATATTCTGCTTACTTTACCTGAATATCCCATTTGTGGTGTCCAACTTTTATAACCTGATCTCTGGGGAATTCCAGCACATAATGGAGATTTTAGTATTTGAGGATAATTACTATCTTGTGCAGAGGATGAGCTTGTACCAAGCATAACATGTGATGCATGTGTGTTTTCTGCAAAAGATCTTCTGTTTCTAAAGTATGAACCTAAATTCAAAAAAATTTAATATCAATTTAAAGTTCAGAATTATGCAATGTGGTAAAAATCTCTATAATCACTAAAAAACTTCACCTGATAATGATTTTTAATATACCAAATTATGAAAAAGTTAACATAAATAACATTGTACTAAAATATAATGAAAAGTGCTCACTAATATAGCTTTTTCTTATGCAAGCTCACTGAGATTACTCTTGGTAATTATAAACTACCTTCTAAGCCTCAAATACACCTTTGTATAGTAATTATACCTCTCTTCTTCTGTTGAATTCTTCATTGAAACTCTCTCCTCCCAGGCAACTGGTATAAAGAGAATTTAGGCTTACCTGGGTTCAGTTCCTTTTCTAGTTACTTACCTATTAGTATAAGATACTACCTTCTTTTTTTTAATTTATATTTATTTTTTATTGAAGGCTAATTGCTTTACAGAATTTTGTTGTTTTCTGTCAAACCTCAAAATGAATCAGCCATAGGAATACATAAATCCCCTCCCTTTTGAACCTTCCTCTTATCTCCCTCCCCATCCCCCCCCCCCTCTAAGTTGATACAGAGCCCCTGTTTTGAGTTTCCTGAGCCATACAGCAAATCCCGTTGGCTATATATTTTACATATGCTAATGTAAGTTTCCATGTTACTCTTTCCATGCATCTCACCCTCTCTTCCCCTCTTCCCATGTCCATAAGTCTGTTCTCTCTGTTTCTCCATTGTTGCCCTGTAAATAAACTCTTCAGTACCATTTTTCTAGATTCCGTATATATGCATTAGAATACGATATTTATCTTTCTTTTTCTGACTTACTTCACTCCATATAATAGGTCCTAGGTTCATCTACCTCATTAGAACTGACTCAAATGCATTCCTTTTTATGGCTGAGTAATATTCCACTGTGTATATGTACCACAACTTCTTTATCCATTCACCTGTTGATGGATATCTAGGTTGCTTCCATGTTCTAGCTATCATAAATAGTGCAGAAAATAAACAATGGGATACATGTGTCTTTTTCAATTTTGGTATCCTCAGGATATACACTAGTAAAGTAATGCTCAAAATTTTCCAAGCCAGGCTTCAACAATATGTGAACCATGAACTTCCAGATATTCAAGCTGGTTTTAGAAAAGGCAGAGGAGCCAGAGATCAAATTGCCAATATCCGCTGGATCATCAAAAAAGCAAGAGAATTCCAGAAAAAACATCTATTTCTGCTTTATTGACTATGCCAAAGCCTCTGACTGTGTGGATCACAATAAACTGTGGAAAATTCTGAAAGAGATGGGAATACCAAACCACCTGACCTCCCTCTTGAGAAACCTCTACACAGGTCAGGAAGCAACAGTTAGAACTGGAAATGGAACAACAGACTGGTTCCAAATAGGAAAAGGAGTAGGTCAAGGCTGTGTATTGTCACCTTACTTATTTAACTTATATGCAGAGTACATCATGAGACATGCTGGGCTACATGAAGCACAAGCTGGGATCAAGACTGCCAGGAGAAATATCAATAACCTCAGATATGCAGATGACACCACCCTTATGGCAGAAAGTAAAGAAGAACTAAAGAGCCTCTTAAAAAAATAAATAAATAAATAAAGAGCCTCTTGATGAAAGTGAAAGAGGAAAGGGAAAAAGCTGGCTTAAAGCTCAGCATTCAGAAAACCAAGATCATGGCATCCGGTCCCACCACTTCATGGGAAATAGATGGGGAAACAGTGAAAACAGTGGCAGACTTTATTTTGGGGGGCTCCAAAATCACTGCAGATAGTGACTGCAGCCATGAAATTAAAAGACTCCTTGGAAGAAAAGTTATGGCCAACCTAGACAGCATATTAAAAATCAGAGACATTACTTTGCCAACATAGGTCTGCCTAGTCAAGGCTATGGTTTATCCAATAGTCATGTATGGATGTGAGAGCTGGACTATAAAGAAAACTGAGCTCTGAAGAATTGATGCTTTTGAACTGTGGCTTTGGAGAAGACTCTTGAGAGTCCCTTGGACTGCAAGGAGATCCAATCAGTCCATCCTAAAGGCAATCAGTCCTGAATATTCATTGGAAGGACTGATGGTGAAGCTGAAACTCCAATACTTTGGCCACCTAATGCAAAGAACTGACTCATTAGAAAAGACTCTGATGCTGGGAAAGATTGAAGGCAGGAGGTGAAGAGGACGACAGATGATGAGATGGTTGGATAGCCTCACCGACTCAGTGGAGTTGGACTCTGGGAGTTGGTGATGGACAGGGAGGCCTGGCAAGCTGTGATTTCATGGGGTCACAAAGAGTCAGATACAACTGACTGACTGAACCGAACTGAATTGAACAGGGTATGCCTAGGAGTGGGACTGCTGGGTCATATGGTGGTTTTATTCCTTGTTTTTTAAGGAATCTCCATACCGTCTTCCATAGTGGCTGTATCAATTTACATTCCCACCAACACTGAAAAAACATTCCCCTGTCTCCACACCCTCTCAGCATTTGTTTGTAGACTTTTTGATGATGGCCATTCTGACCAGTGTGATGTGACATCTCATTGTAGTTCTGATTTGCATTTCTCTAATAATAAGCAATGCTGAGCATCTTTTTATGTGTTTGTTAGCCATCTGTATGTCTTCTTTGGAGAAATGTCTGTTTAGGTCTTTTCCCCACTTTTTGATTGGATTGTTTGTTTTTCTAGTATTGAGTTGTATGAGCTGCTTGTGTATTTTGGATATTAATCCTCTGTGAGTTGTTTCATTTGCTATTATCATCTCCCATTCTGAGGGTTGTCTTTCACCTTGCTTATAGTTTCCTTTGCTGTGCAAAAGCTTTTAAGTTTAACCCGGTCTCACTTGTTTACTTTTGTTTTTATTTACATTACTCTAGGAGGTGGGTCATAGACGGTCTTGCTTTGATTTATATCCTTGAGTGTTCTGCCTATGTTTTCCTCTAAGAGTTTTATAGTTTCTGGTCTTACATTTAGGCCTTTAATCCATTTTTAGTTTATCTTTGTGTTTGCTGTTAGGAAGTGTTCTAATTTCACTCTTTTACATGTAGCTGTCCAGTTTTTCCCTCACCATTTGTTGAAAAGGTTGTCATCGCCCCATTGTATATTCTTGCCTCCTTTGTCAAAAATAAGGTACCCATAGGTGCATTGGTTTATTTCTGGGCTTTCTATCTTGTTCCACTGGTCTATATATCTGTTTTTGTGCCAGTACCAGACTGTCTTGATGACTGTAGCTTGTAGTATAATCTGAAGCCAGGAAGGTTGACTCTTCCAGCTCCATTCTTCTTTCTCAAGACTACTGTGGTTATTTGGGGTCTTTTATGTTTCCATATGAATTGTGAAATATTTTGTTCTAGTTCTGTGAAAAATGCCTTGGGTAATTTGACAGGGATTGCACTGAATCTGTAGATTGCATTTGGTAGTATACCCATCTTCACAATATCCATTCTTCCTACCCAGGAACACAGAATATCTCTCCATCTGTTTATGTTGTCTTTGATTTTTTTCACTAGTGTCCTATAATTTTCTGTGCACAGTTCTTTTGTCTCCTTAGGTAAGCTTATTCCTACATATTTAATTCTTTTTGTTGCAAAGGTGAAGGGGATTGATTCCTTAATTTCTCTTTCTGATTTTTCATTGCTAGTATACAGAAATACAAGTGATTTTTGTGTATTGATTTTGTATCCTGCAACTTTGCTATATTTCACTGATTAGCTCTAGTAATTTTCTGATACTATCTTTAGGGTTTTCTACATACAGTATCATGTCATCTGCAAACAGTGAGAGCTTTACTTCTTTTCCAATCTGGATTCCTTTTATTTCTTTTTCTTCTCTGATTGCTGTAGCTAGGACTTCCAGAACTATATCAAATAGTAGTGGAGAAAGTGGACACCCTTGTCTTGTTCCTGATCGTAGGGGGAATGCTTTCAGCTTTTCACCATTGAGAATAATGTTTGCCATAGGCTTATCATATTTGGCCTTTACTATGTAAAGGTAGGTTCCTTCTATGCCCATTTTTTGAAGAGTTTTAATCATAAATGGGTACTGAATTTTGTCAAAGGTTTTTTCTGCATCTACTGAGATTATCATATGGTTTTTATCAATTTGTTAATATGGTGAAGATACTACTTTTTTTTATAGGGTTGTCATAAAATATGACAGAATGTACATAAACAGTATAGCACAGTGTCTAGGCACATAGGTTGTTTCGTTTTGTTTTGTTTTTTCCATTGAATATAGTTAATTTACAATGTTGTGGGCACACAGACATTTTTTTTTTAAGTTCATTTTTATTTATTTATGTCTTTTTGGCTGTGTGACATCTCTGTTGCTTTGTGCAGGCTTTCTTTAGATGCAGCAAGCAGGGGCTACTAGAACAGGGGCTACTATTTATGGCAATGCATGGGCTTCTGACTGCAGTGGCTTCTTTTTGTGATGCACTGGCTCTAGGCACACAGGCTCAGTAGTTGTGGTGCACGGCCTCTAGAGCTCAGGCTCTGTAACTGTGGCACATGGGCTTAGCTGCTCTTTGACACATGGAATCTTCCAGGAAGAGGAAGGGATTGCTGCAGGCGGATTCCTACCCACTGCATAGTGGGCCACCAGGGATTCCAATAAGTGTACTTTTTTTAATTGGAGGATAATTGCTTTACAATGCTGAGTTGGTTTTTACCTTACAACTCGAATCAGCCATCATTATATATACATAATGATATCCATATATCCCCTCCTTCTAGACCTTTCCTCTTCTTTCCTATCCCACTCCTCTAGGTCATTCAGTTCAGTTCACTCAGTCATGTCCGACTCCTTGTGACCCCAGGAACCACAGCACATCACGCCTCCCTGTCCATCACCAACTCCCAGAGGTCACCCAAACTCATGTCCATTGAGTCAGTGATGCCATCTAACTAACCATCTCATCTTCTGCCATCCCCTTCTCCTCCTGCCTTAAATCTTTCCCAACATCAGGGTCTTTTCAAATGAGTCAGCTCTTCACATCAGGTGGGCAA